ACATATTGCTTTTCCCAGAGGCACCCAGAGTTCATGTTTAAAGTTATAGTTTTATAACATTGAATGAGTTGGATCCACTTCACCAAATAAATCTCTGCCCTCCATTCAAACAGGATGTATGTGATATTGTAGTGTTTAATTTCTTCCTGTGCGAGGCCAGTCTCCTCCATCATCCCACTGAATCCAATAACACCCCAGTTTAAAAGGCACCAGCCCTATCTGCCCCACACAGGAAATCATGACTCCTAAAACCCATCCTGCACTACTCCTGGCAAGAAACCAGAAAATTCACAGCTAATTGAAAAAAAAAAAAAAAACCTTACACCACTTTTAGTAGAATGACTTTCAACTGTTCTTTTAGATGTGCAGTTGTGGCTTGTATAGATGACATTACATTTTCAAAGAGATAGCATTGATAAAATATTGCTTTGAATCACCTTTTACAGCCTAAAAGGTCAAGCAATTCCAAGCAAGCAATTCTAGAAACAGCATTGCAGAAACAATTAAGTCCAAATGCATTACAATCCAGAACCATACAGAAGAGTAAAAAAAGATATATACCATACTTAATGAACTTAAGACTTTTAAGTCCTGTGTCAAAATGCATAATACGGATTTTCATTATTACTCTCATCTGGTACAGAAAACCTGGAGTAAACTCAACATGTTTATAATCTACACTGTCGTCTAAAGAAAAGAGCCATATTCTTTGAGGTTTATATCTTAAATTTGGTATCAATTTTGAATAATGCAGTCTATATTATGTTTGCCCTACTTATGCAAACGTGGCAGCTGTCTTTTGAGCTAATTGATGAGTGTGTATTAGACATTTGCTACTCCTGATGTGGTGTCCAGTGGAGCGTTGAAGTCCTAATCTAGCACCAGCCAGGGGCCCGTGGACTTAAGGGCCTGTAGACGAAGTGGGGCTGAGAAGACCCTTATCCCTCTCCTCTCGGTTCCCCCTATCTGGGTGTCCCGCTGAGCCCTCCCTGATAACATTGCTCTTGTCTGATAACAGTATAGGCCAGGCTTTTGGGACTGCACAGCACTGGACAGGACTAGAGCCGGTAGCTGCTCCTACACAGCGGCTGCTACTCTCAGGCCCTATCTGAGAAGTGTCACCAGAAAACAGCACTCCACCGGCTACAAACCACCGGCAATCAGCACCGTTTAGAGCCAGAGCAGCGCTGCGCAGGCCGACGTCTGCAGGACCGGCACATTTATTTGGGACTGTTACACGGCAAGAGAGATTTATCCACAAATAGGACAGTTTTCACAGAATGTTTGTTTGTTTGTTTATTTATTCATTTCATTAGGCACAAGTCACCTCTTGTCCATTGTAGTTTCCAACAAAAATAAATAAAGTATTGCTAACATGCAATAATTCAAAAGATTAATAATTTAACATCCCTTCGTTCTCAATGCATTCAGTTGAGAACGGAGGGATTAATGATTAATCTCAACTAATCGATTAACAAACTAATCGAATGGTTGTCAACTAATTTAGTAAATGGTCAATCTGTCTTTGAACCATACCTGGACCAAACAAATATGGGTAATTTTTCTGATAATTCAACAGTGATTTGTCAACAGGGTTAGGCAAAATAAGTGTTAAACTTTCAGTTATTCCATGTTCTGATAGATACTGTAGCTCAAATGTTGGATAGCACTCTCGCCTCTCAGCAAGCAGGTCCTGGGTTCGAATCAGAGTCGGAACGGCCTTTCTGAGTAGAGTTTGCATGTTCTCCCCGTGTCTGCGTAGGTTTCCTCCAGGTACTCCGGTTTCCCCTACCACTAAAAACATGTACAATAGGTCTGGCATGCGCCTCCTGTACTGGCGACCCAGCTCCCATCTCTGTGTGGAATGAGAGACAAATGCCCAAAAAAAAACGTACTTGAAAATACTACAGAATGACATGGAAGCATCTCGAATGGCATCACCATTCAGGTCAAATGAATAAAAAAATCTACTTAACAGATGTAAAACACTAATCAATTCTTCAAAAGAATGAAATGAAATCTAATTGTTTATCAAAGTAATTGTCAATTGCAGCCCTAAAACCAATGCTAAAAGAGATTGATATGGGACATACCGTATTCTGTGAAAGAAGAGTAGAGAATAGAAACTTTCCTCAAAGACAATGTCGCATTATGCAAGATGAGGGATATGATATTTATACTTGAAAGAAGAAAAGGAGCATTTTATTCCAATGACTTCGATCATAGCTGGTTTCTACATTCATACTTAAGACCTTACAAAACATTATCAGAAAGTTAATGTTTTCTTGTTTCAAATATGAATGAAAATGTTTAGCTAAAAACCTGAGCCTTGAGCAAAGGACTTGTGCTTTTGGTTTTACTGCACTCTTCACATTCAAGTTTACTGGGTATTGATCAAATTGTTGAAACAAAACTCACTTGTTCTAAAGAGACACAACTCAGTCTTTTCCCCTGTATGCCCCTGAGGTTTGCAACACTCATCTTGGTGGTGTGCTATCCAAACACAACGTTAAAACAAATAGATAGCAGAGTTGAGAACCATTGTAGTCCTCACAAAATGTTCCAAGAATGACAGAACTATTGCAGACCTTTAGAACATAATAAACGTAGTGTAAAAAGACGGTGATAGAACACTTGCATCTATTCTTTGAGGTTGAAGTGATAATGGGTTGTATCGTCCCTGGACCTTGGTGAGAGCAGGGGTTATTAACTGTAGTTCTGTGAAGTCAAAGCTCATGTTCCCACTGGCAGAAAATGTGTTTAATTGGGCTGAAGCTTGTCTTTTCTTTTTGAGAACACCAAATTGTTGCAACTGTAACGGAGAGGAGTTTGGGCAATTACGGCCAACTTCTGCAGCAGAGCGTTGAAGTGGGAGCTCAGTGAGTCAGACGAGGTGTGCAAGTGTTTAAACGTTTTGACACATCGCAGCATTACTGAAGGTTGAAACCACTTTTTTTCCTGCAATTGCTTCAAAATTACAAAGGATTCCACGTTTTTACCCTGGTGTACAGTTCTGTAAATTGGTGCAATAAGGTATACATGAATATGCTGGATGTTATTCCTCTGTGTCAGCAACACGAGAGAAAGTCTTTAGGCAATTTGTGCAGTTAGTGCTTTGCAGTCAGCTTTTTGAACTAGATAATCCGTTTATGTGGTTGGACGCCAGCGATGGGGCACTGTCACTTTATCATTATGTCTGATGTCAGTGAAGCATTATAATTTGCGTAAAAATATCTTTGAAAGCTGGGGAGCCTAACTTTCGTGCACTATGAAAGTCTTTAGAAAATAAAATCCATAGACGGTATTTAGATTCTAACTCCCAAAACAGCTTGGTTCCGTCACTAGTTTTCAAAGGCATGTATTCTTTGAATCAGCTTTTTATGACAGGAAAGTGAAGAAGAGGGCTCTCAGCCCAAATCATCAAATAATGCATGGCTCTTTCTTAGAAGTAAGCAAAGGGTAAAACGTTTTGTCATCAAAAAGTCAGAATGTTGTGTTGTTTTAAGGTCCGGTAGTGTTAGGGTGATATTTAATGTAATCCGAAAACTTTTTCCATGTGAATGAGCAGTTTGTAATGCCTCAGTAAAGATGTTGTAAGAGCATTATCATTTTTATTTAATTATAGGAGCGACTATGGAGGTTGTGTGCGTTTGTGCAAGGTGCTAAATCTTTACACTTGGAAAAGGGAGGTAACATTATTTTGACCTGTTGGAGCAGATACAAGTCAAACTAATCAACATGTTGTTATATGTGATGCGATCTGGGAAAACCCATCACATGGTAAAATTTGACCAATTTAAGATTCTGACACCATCTTAAAGCAGTTTTCAATCTTCCTTTTTTTCTTAGCAGGTCTGTAACAAAAGTTATCATTATCTGAAGTCAGCGTCTTCTCACATGGTTTTATGAAACAGAATTCTGAGAAAAACAGGTTTAAAGTTAGACATTCTAAATAGAATCACCACAATCAAATATAACATGTTACATATGAATTACTCTGTTATGGCACACACTTATTTTAGTCACTATGTTGTAAAAGATAAAACATTTTTTACTTTGGCACCAATTAAACACACAACACTCATGAATTAGATCAAAATCAAGAATGATTTCAAAATTTAATGAATTTAATTTGTTTTACGAAACTTTTCTAACTCTTCTTTTTTAGTTTCTTTCTTTTTATAAGTTACTGAACATTATATATGTATGAGACAATGTCAGTATTATTCTATCCAATCACGCAGTATAAATATCCACAACCACCAAGCATTTTTAATACAGGGAGAGGTACCCGAGCTTTAATTTCGTGAGCGCATAGGAGACACGGGGGAGACCTGCACTTGCAACAAGCTGGGGATTGTCTGAACGCGTGTCAATGGTTCTGTCCGCGTATGGTTCTGTCTATGGTCCTGTCAGAGTGTCTATGGTCATGTCCAAGTGTCTATGATCCGCGTGTCTCGCGTGTCTGTGATCCGCGTGTATGGGTTCTGTCCGTGTGTCTATGGTCCTGTTTGCGTGTCTATGGTCCTGTCTATGGTCCTCTTCACGTGTCTATGGTCCTGCCCGCATGTCTATGGTCCGCGCTCGGAGCCCAGACAGCTGTGCGTTCACTGAGCTGTCAAAGCGGCTGTCACAAAGCGGCCGCAGCTGCTCCCGGGGTCAGGACGGAGGATGTAACGTAGTGTTTGGTTTATCAACACATATCACAATTTTTTTATGTATAAAACTAGTGAATTTCACCTAGATATTTTTAGGAATTAAAGACAAGATGTTGTATAATAATTATTTAATGAAAACACAATTGAGCCAAAAAAATGACACTCGACCTATTTTCACTATTTACTCGGAACGTGCTAGCGCGACATCCGACGGGTTTTCCCAGATTGCATCACATATACGTTACATAAAGTGAACTGGTAACTTCACAGATGAACCTGCATCTAAGAAGCTCAGTGAAAGAAAATGGACGGACGGAGAGTTTTACATAGTAAAGGTTGTACCTGGTTCCTCCAAACAGGATTATTCGATCTCCAACTATACAGCAACATTGTCGTCTCCGCGGACAGGGGCCTTTTCCTTTAGGCTCAATATTCTCCCAAGAGAAGGTTTCTGTTCACACGAGATACAATGCACAAAAATAAACCCATTAAAGTTATCTTAAAGCATGAACTGTGCTTTTTAACTTTTTGTGAGGCGAGCAACAGCCTAAAATTCTCAAACTGTTGATGCTTTCATAATATCTTGATAATATATTTGCTGCATTTATTCATGTTGATGGAAAAAGTAGTTTGAATAGTTTAAGCCGACAAGCCTGCGGCAAAGGCATAACAATAACACAATTTGAATTATATTACAAGCCAAAACTTGGGATTTCAGAAAAAGAAACAGCAAAGACGAAAGAAATTATAAAACTGAAGCTGTCGTAATTGCTCCGTAAAAATAAAACCCTGTTGGTATTGTCTCTATAGCAACTCAGCCTCATTGTGTGACTGAATCTACTGCTGCCATCTGTTGGACAACATTATACAGGCATTACATTTGGACCACTAAGAAAACAGAAAATACTAATTATAACAATGAAAGTCTGAATATACCTGGATTAAACTTCCAGAGGTCGTTGAAGTGCCGGTCCAAACGCGCATTGTATCCTCCAAAAATGTACAAATCTCCTTTGTAGGTGACTGAACAGAGAAAACATATTTAATCAACTGTATGAGGCATATTCAATGAAAATCAATTAATCTAAAATGGATAGATAATACTACAATGATTCATATAGCTTTTCATGATATTGAAAAGTGCATTAAATTCCATTATCGAATATTTGCTCCTATACAGTGCAGTGATGTAACGCTACCCTGGGATGGACTGACTGACATGCCTTGCTTAAGGATACAACAATAATTAAAGTCCTTAGAATCAGAGTGCCCCAGTGTGGCACCTGGTATAAACAATAAAAAAAGTCTCCCATCACAGACTAATCAAGCCCTGCCTTGCTTAGCTTTGAGAACTGACAAAGCCTTGTCATCAGTTATAGTTACAATTAAGTAAATTACTATGTTACAAACCCTGTCAAAAGTGTATAATGTAATGTATAGTACCATTGTTTGGATTGAAACTGGATTTGAGAAAGTTTGATTTCACGAAGTAGGTCATTTGAAAAGGGGTTTGGTATAAAGCATTCTGCAGTCTTGTAAAAAGTCTGGTGTTAAATAAAAGATTCATCCTCTTACACTATATGTATACTTGTTTTTGTTCCTAGAAAAAAACATTTTTAAAGAGAGCTATCTTTACACTGGAAGAGGGACACCATTCTTTGCAACACTTCAAAGGCCTGGGACAACATTGTCTTAAGTTTGTTTCCATGTCTGTGTCTGTGTGTGTCTGTGTGTGTGTGTGTGTCTGTGTGTGTCTGTGTGTGTCTGTGTGTGTCTGTGTGTGTCTGTGTGTGTCTGTGTGTGTTTGGAGGCTCACAGGCTGAATGGCTCCTGCGGCCGTCCGGTGTCTGGTTGGACGGTGTGCTGGCCCAACAGTTGGAGGGGGTGTTCAGCCAGCAGTTGGTCTCTGTGTCAAACACTTTGATCTTGTTGCAGTAGATCTCATTATTGGAGTGAAAAGGACCAAAGCGATCGGCTCGGCCTCCGAACACAAACATCTTTGTGCCGATGATGGTTGCAGAGTGGAAATCTCTCCACCGCGCCGGAGAGCCCTGTGGAGAAGGACATCAAGCTCATATAAGAAAAAATACATTATAGATACAGTCTGCAACTGAGCCATGGCCACTTCCGGGTCTCCTGAGGGGGAAACAAACCAATGGGGCACGCTTCAAAAGAAGGCTTTTCAGTAAATAGACCTCTTCATCCGCAGACATGAGGGAACTCCTAAAATGTATTGTGCCAAGAGAGCAAAAGAGAGTGCGTTCATACTAATTTACTGCAATTATGCGCACATCAGAAGTTTCTTCTTGAAAGCAAAAGCATATATTGCTTCCAAAAGGTTTTCAGAGTGATGGATGAATAACATGTGTCTGAATGTTTTATTGTTTAAGTTTGGGAGTGGGCACTAAAGCATTTTGCTTCAGACCTCAGTTGGAGTATCGTAAAGGTCTCTTTCACATCTAAGGGAAATGGTGCCCTCTAGTGCGTATTGTACAGAACAAATACAATAGAGTAAATCGAGCATAAACATGCACAACTGAGCACAAAACTAAACACAGATGCAAGACAAATGTGATTTGCTTCTATGTAAAATATAAATACCAAATTCAAGCTTCTTTTCTTTCAGTTCTAAAGCCAGAACGTCTTCCAGGGCATGGGCCATAGATATGTAGCTAATCTTCTCTCCTCAGTACAAAATAAAACAAATACCATTCATAGTGGTTTTTGAGAAGTGAGTAAATTATATAACAATAATATAACATTGTGTATTAATGAAAGAAAAATAGTCATTATGAATGGAATGAATAACAAGAGCATGTTTGTGTTTATGGCTGTGCACAAACACAAAGGGTTTGTCTTCAGTGAGAGGGGGGCATAATCCAGTGTGAGGCTTTTGGACTTGGCCAACTCCCTGAGAGTAACATTACATTCTGGGCTTTTGTACACAGCCAGCCAGTTAAGAGGGGCTTGTACAGCAATATTGTCAACTACAATAGTCATAACTGGTTTAGCTACAACAAATCACCATGTGTTTATTGTATGTAATAAAGACATCATACTGATACTGAGGGCAAAACTGACTGGAATGTTGTTCAATTGTTGGTTTTGGATTGTTAGCAAGTATGTTGTTCATGCATTTTATAGCACAGCACAATGAAAAATTGCACAAGCGTTTGAACGGAAGTCAATTTCAGCTCCTAGAAATGAGATATCGGTGAAGTTTGAAAGAAATACAGTATAATGTAATGTGACACAAAAACTCACTCTGGCATTGATCAAAGTCCACACCATGGACACAGTGTCCAGTTTGTGGATGTCATTGGAGAAGCAGTCAGCCTGTGGCACAAAAGAGATTAGTTTAACCATTTACAGTTAGAAAAGCTGCCCCATGAAATACGTATAAATAAGACGGCACTCACCAGCTGCTCATAGCCTCCAAATATATACATTGCTTTGCCCAGTATACAGGCAGAGTGGCCGTCCCGAGCCCCAGGGATAGTGCCCGAAATTTTGGGGGTAATCCATCGGTGGGTATCTGAAAAATATATAATATAAATTGAGGGTTAGGGTTTAATTTTTAAAAGTAATTTTTTAAATATTTAACTTTCAAAACACAAAAAGATCCACCAAACAAGTTCCTAGTTTGACGGTTTGGGTCTGTCACTAGTTATCAAATACTATATTTGGCCTCGGTCACATCTTTACCTTTTTGCCTTTCAGCTCAGAAAGGCAAAAAAGAGAGGACCACCGTCACACAGCCAAACAGCCCAAATCATGAAAAAATGACTTGGGCTCTTTTGTAGAAGCAACATGTTTTCTAATAATACTAATACAGCATGATTTGTTCACAACTTTTAATATTTTTAAGATTAAGGTTAAGAGATCCTTTATTGGTCCCACAGTGGGGAACTTTCAGTGTTGCATCACCAGTTACAGAACAGTAACAGTTACAGCAGAACACAAGATAAATGAACAATAACTCTATTCTAAATCAAATAAAATCTCTAGCTTTAGCATAATAAAGAGGTAGACTTTCTGTTGTGACAAACACCATGGACATTTAAAGTTAGATACCTCAGCTTTAATGCTCTTATTAGACTGGTAAGTGAGCACATAACACACTATACAAGTTCTAAGACAGCCTGATGCTTGAGATGAAAAGTTCATGAATATCCTGGGAATCACTAGCTTCTACCAGAGCCCAGATGCACTGATACGACAGCCTGAAAACTTCAAAGACACGTTTCTATGAGTCAAACCTGCGCCGACAAACGTCTCCGGAGACGCCGGAGAAGTGACAGTTTGGCCCAGTGTCATAGAAGCGGCTGTACTTACTGACATCAAAGACATAGAGCACATTGCAAGCCCCCTCCGTGTCGTTGCGCCCGCCCCAGAGGTAGATGGTGTCGTCCAGCAGCACCGCCGTGTGGCCGTAGCGCATGTACGGCACCTCGCGCACACGCTCAGCACTGCGCACCGGCGGCAACTTCATCCATCGCAGAGACACTGGAGAAACAGAAAACACACAGATCCGACCAGTTTAAGTGAATGGCAGTTACTTTACAAATTGTGGAGACAGACAGAAATATTTAAGCCCAATCGGCGTTTACATCCTCCCATGCTCAGGGCTGCTTCAGTTTATTTGCCATTCGCAGTAAAACGACATTGGAATAACTGTACAAGACAGTGTGCACCAGAGTAGATAGTCCACACCAGAGAGTCCCCACCAGAGAGTCCCCTGTGGTTGCTGGTGGCTCTCAGCACCTGGTACAGACGCCTTCTCAGATGTTGCTTCCCCAGCTACACCTGCACTCAGCCTCAGGTTTTCCATGGCTTTAACGTTTTTTTCCCCTATCATAAGTCTCTGTGTGTGAACGTACACATGTGCATGTGGAAAGTGAATGAATGAATAATAAAGCAGCCATTCTTTAATAAAGCTAAGTTAGAGAATTCGTGTATTAACACTTTTACTTTCTGAGTCAGTGGAAATTGTGGATGCGATTTTGTAGATTCATATGTACTGAGAATGAATCAATCTCTCTCAAATCAGACAACTCCCATTTCTTCTGCCAGACTAGTAATTATGAATAAAAAACATTGTATTTGAGTAATATAAGGATATTTGAGAAACTATGATGAAAACAAATTCCTTTTACACAGATCAGCACAGCAGACTTCAATTCAACTTTCCATCTCAAGAGGGAACTAGATAAATAAAAACAAATTAATATTCAGGCTGACTCAACGCCAGATTGAATTCAATTACTCACACATTCTCTACTGCCTTTGTTAAAGAAGGATGGCATTTAAATAAAATAGAAAACACTTATAACACAATATTTTCTGTGTGAAAATGACTGGAAACAGAAACAAAGGTCTGCATGTAGCTGGATGCACTTAGCGACATAGCTAAGGTAAGTCTTGGTTCTGTGGCACAAGGATGAAACCTAGAGGCAGGTGGCTCACTAAGTAGAACAAATGGAGACAAGACTTTTGTTTTTTAAGTTTCACCAACACCTGTTTCAATGAGGCGTTGGAATATGGAGCAACTGAAAACAGACTCGGGCTTCTGCAAAAGCCACAGTGGGAAAACAATTACAGTTTAGTAACTGTAATTGACTCTGTTTGACTGAAGTTTGCACCTCGGACTTTTTTTGAATGTACAATGTACAAATTCTGTTGTGTTTTTAATGTTTGAAATGAAATGAAAGGGAAGTTGTTCAGTCCTTTTCAGAAAGACACAGAGCAAACAGTTCTCACAAAGAAAGAATTTGAGTATGCAAAGTATTCAGAGTAAGCAAGGCTCAACCACAGACTTTGTACACTTGTTCTCAATTGCAACAACTGTTAATATACACAGCACAAAAAAAGGTGGATTAACTGGTCCAAACACACCTACCGATACCGCAAACAATAAAACAAAAGAACAATACTACATTCATTAAGTTGATTTGTTTAACAACTTATTTATGAGTCTAGTATTGTGGCTTGTCACCACTGGGAAGACAATGGGATAGAAAAAGCGCCTCGGGTGTAAATTGAACACTTTCTCCATATCCGGTCTACATTAAGTTATGCAATTTTCTTGGTGTAAAACATGTGTTACTTGCAGTAGAAAGAATATAATAGTATAATAGTTTGTTTGTAATAGTTTGTATAATAGTTTGTAACACGCACATCCAGGTTCCAGCAAAACAATAACTTATCCTTAACATAGAATGTATATCATGGTGTACAGGTAAAAATATTAACTTAAAATGTAAAAAATGTGTTATAGGACAATAATTTGACTATTTTCACAACCTCAACCATTTAATTAAAAATGCATACATTGTCATACAAGAAATCTACTTAATTACAAAAGCAAGCAATTTTCCTTTTATGCATTTTTCATGTTTTGTAAGAGGGAAGCACATAAACAGGAGCCCTCACATGTAAAATTGAACAAGATACTTCTACTTTCGTCCTACGATTCATTACCTGTGTTAAAAACATGGACATCGATCTGCCGGAGCGTCTCGTAGTCTTCTCCGGAGCAGTAGCCTCCAAAAGAGTAGACCTTGTGTCCCACGGCCACCGCAGCATGGTTCACTCTCCTGGGCCCTCCTTCAAGGTGCACCGACCAGCGCAACATCCTCTGCCCCGAGCACGGCCGCGAAAACAGCCGTCACACCATCACTCAGCATCAGTCAGCCACCAGAAGCCCACCGAGCCTTCTTCATAACCTGCACGAGCAAAAGCAGTCGTGTTTAAACAGGAGACAGCTTTGGGGTGAACTTGGGCGGGGCAAATGGCAGAAGAGGAACGGTTTATCCGCTTGTACGCAGAGATCCACAGCTCCTCTGTCACCGGCAAGTTCACAAGGTCCTTTATTATGTGAGAGAGTATTTTAAGAGGAGCTTAGACCTGGGCATACCACTTCTCTTTATTGTAGTTCACTTGCACTTGTACTTGAAAAGCCAACAGCGCTGCCAAATGTGTATTGATCTGTACATAAAACTTGAACTCGTAGGCGGATTCCAAAAGTTGAACAAGAAAACTCTGTGTCTGTATCATAAATAAACTGAGGATTAGTATGATGATGTATATTTCAACAACACTGTCAAAAGGAAAATACTAATAGGTAAAATTCATTATTACCATCTTTATCCAGTTAAAACTGCAACCCACGATCATTTTGATGTTGGAAACCCAGATATTTGATTTTAAATCAAGATTTGTCACAAAAAACAAAAGTGATAACATGTGTCAGAAACATAAAACTATGTAATAATTAAACTGAAACATTTACGCATTTATTATAATCTTATTTGTTATTACTGCTCAGTTTGAGTCTTAAAATCACATATTATAGTAATTTTTGGAGTCTGTAAAAATAACAGTTAAAGATTAATTGATTACGGTAATACAATTGTTCATTATTGAAAAGGCTTCTAAAGTTCTCAGTCCTGGATCTATAGCCTGCCAGCCCATGAGAGCGTATCCCTCTCTCAATAAGTGCCTCCCAGAGGTCTCAAAAACCATTAGTGTCCTTAATCATCCAGTCTATACACTGACCTTCAACCTTTATTTGCTCTTAAAATAGTTTATCATGAGAACATTGACAAAAACATGTCTATTTTCAGACCCAAATGTCCCAGAGGATAACCCACTTGGCACAGGCAGCATATCTGTGCAGCTTTAGACTTTAGACTAGTAGTTAATGTATTTGATTTAACCCTGGTTGAACCAGATCTGTTACCACCATATCTTGTTCCATCTGTAAAACACACAATTCTTATTATGCCTTATGCCTTTATACCTTTAAACGCTACATTTACTCAACCTATCCTGGATAGTTCAAGGTAATGCAGAGCTTGAGACTGAACCCATTGACTGTAAATAGAGTGAATGGAGAATCACTATCACTAACTCCCCATTTTTAGTCCGGACGCTGGGCGGAGGCCAATCCCTGTGCACCAAGAGTTTGAGATGGTTCATATGCAAGTCACAAGCACTTGTACTTTGGTGAACATAGATTACTGAAGATGTACAATTTAAAATTAACCGGAATTTGTCTCCTCTGAAAATCCAGATCAATAGTTTTAAGGTCTGAATAAAGATAATCGAATTCTGATTCACTTGGACCGAGACCCAGCTGAAGAGATGGTATTGGTCCACTTCCAGAGTATAATAGTGACCAAGAAGCTTTTAGGGGTTTTATTTTATTTTTTTCTGGTATAGTTAACCTGGCAAAAGCCAGATTGATGATTGTGTAGGACTCAAATGAAGTCACAAATATTAGTGTGACGATATATCGATTTTTCGCGATACTTTCTCCCGTGATCTATTATCGATACGCATTTGCCAAGTATCGATTTTGAAAATAAAAATAATAAAAATAATTGGTATCAATACTTAATATATGGCTACATTACACATCTCCATTCCATTTATCATGAAATAAAGTGTATTTTTTCACTTAACTTTTTTTATTTTACGTATGCCATATACTGGCATATGGTATATGCTGACCAATAAATCGATAATCGTGATATCGTGATATAATCGTTATCGTGAGCTTTGTATCGTATCATATCGTGAGGTACCCTTAGGTCAGTGTTTTTCAACCACTGTGCCGCGGCACACTAGTGTGCCGTATGATATTGTCTGGTGTGCCGTGAGAAATTCGTCTACTTTGTCTAAAAATAACTGCATTCGCTGTTGACGAGCGGTGACTTGTTTTGAACTGTGGAGTAACCATGTAATACTTTTTCAAATCAGTAGATGGCAGCAGATAGCTAAGTACTTTGAAACTGAAAAATTGGATGCGACCACTGGCTGTAACAGGTCAGCATTGTGGCGAGAAAGGTAAAATTGGATGCGACCAACAAATGTGGGAGGGAGCGAGACAAGAGCTTTGTGGCGAGTGAGAAGTGAAAGTGATAGACGTTTTTGAAAATGAATTATGCCGTTTCTGAACAGGATTAACATCCTCCGCTCTGCCCCGGGGCAGCTGTGGCCGCGTTGTAGTGGCTTAACTATGAAATGTACAATTTTTGTACAATAGCTCTCGCGAACGCACTTCTGAACTGGGTACCGAGCGCAGACCATAGTCGAGTGGACAGAACCACAGACATGCGGACCGGACAGAACCATGGACTCGCGTTCAGGACCTCCCGTGTCCCTCATCCAAAACTCCTGAATTTAAAGCTCGGATACCTAAATTTTTCCCATGCACTAACAATGCATGTTCTTTGTGTGAGTTATTATTTGACTATTTGGGCAGAGAGTGGATTTTCTTAGTTTTTTTCCACACAGTTAGTGCCACTTTATTCCCAAACTCTTGTTAATTGTATCGAGAAATATTAAATAAAGCTTAATGTCAAGGCCTGGACTTAAGCATTTTGATGAGAATAACTGTATATTGTGAATATAGGCTACAGAGTATACTGTATACATTATAAGATAAGATAAGATATACTTTATATATCACACAGAGTATGTACGGTATATATTTTTTTACATTAGTACTGTATACATTTTTACATTTTCTCCTGGAGGTGTGCCGCAAGATTTTTTCAGTGAAAAAAGTGTGCCTTGGCTCAAAAAAGGTTGAAAAACACTGCCTTAGGTTCCCACCCCTAGTCACAAATACCGCGAGAATTCAGCTTGCAGGAAAGGTTGCACAAACTGCTGTAATATGTACGATTGTGATATGAAAAACTATCTACAAAGAATATAATATCAAGCATTGCATAACATAATTAACGTTTTACCCATCATGCTTTATATTTATTTACTCGATTTTAAATTTAAAACATAGAAGTGTCAACAGAGTGACGTTTATGGGGTGACATTTAATTGTATACGCCGCAAATCAAGGCCGAACCCCTGCTAATAGATGAAAGAAGCATAATAGTAATAATGTCGCTGAGTTAAACTGTCCAGCCCCATCTCCAGCACTGTAGTGACAGTCTATGGTAGTGACACATAACGCTACACAGGTGTAACCTGAGGTCCCTTGACTGTGTCCCTGCATGAACTGACCTGCCCTTGTTTGGGAACACACTTCTGATAAGCTTCATCAGAAACCAGTGACTTTGAACCATGTTTACCTTGGACACCGACAGCACAGAAGAAACGTAGCAGATACATGTTTGACCAGCGGCTAGCAACCGTTAGCTCAAAATGCTTAACTAGCCGTTAAGGATATGGTCGATCTAGGAGGCACACATGCTCCATAGGTGTGTTATCAAAGTAAACAAGATCCAACACAGCTGCCTATGATATAGAGTGAGCTGTAAGACTGTAGTCTCCTCGAAAACAACTGCACAGGGTGAAAAGATGTTTATGGCTAGCTTAAGCTAATGCTAATGGTTTTGAGCAGCCTACTCTCACTCTAATCTAGTCTGCTGCCAAGATCTCAACATAATAAGCAGCGAAAACAAAACATAATACCATATTAGGCTGGTGAACGCGATTTCACTGATATTATACAAGACAATGTCAGACAAATGTTATTTCTGTACCTTTAGCCCTCAGCTGGATGTTGTTGACTGGCGTTTATCAAAGGGTTGCCAGATCAGAGGTGTAGGTTTTGGTTGTTTCGACTGGACTCACGCTTACAGTCTATGTTACAGAGACTGAGGCGCAGCGGGAAAACTACCCAATCTGGCAATAGCATGCAAAGGTTCCGCGTTACTATTTTTGGTCAGACTGTTCTGTTATAAAACAACATTTTAACTATTATCATCCGAAACAAGAATGACAAGATGGGCATTATTATTCATGGCAAAAAAATGTTTTTTAAGTTTTGCCTAAAGTGCAGTTGTTAGTGAGCATATAATTTCAACATTATATTGAAATTTGACAACGAGAAAACAGCAGATGGCGTTGTTAGACAATGTAACTAGGATTTCCAGATTAATTGATAAATGCCTTGAATAATGCGTTATAAGAAGTTTTACGGAAGAATATAGCTGCAATGTTTTTTCACATTTACTCAACCCATCTTGAATAGTTCAATGCAATAGTGCCCTGGATAACGGAGACATTCTGATCAATTATTCTTTAAAATATATTTTTACTCAATCACTCATAATACGTCAAGACGTTAAAAGCAACACAGTCTAACAATTTGTATGTTGAGTCCAAGACCACAGTGTATCGAAGCCTGTAGTAGGGATGATGGGTGAGCGGAACGGACAGGGGTTTGGTCATGTTGAATTGATCTTGTTTACTGTTATGTTTTATTTAAGTGTGTAATATTATTTTACTCATGTTATATACTCGAGGTCGGCGTTACGTCACGAATCATGTGACCTGCGTAGCAACCAACCGCCGCCATGTTTGAAGGGTAAAACAAACCGAAGGCGAATCCAAAAGGTATCTATTTACATATGTTTTGCCGTGGATTATGTCAGTTATGGATACTAACGGACAACTTTGAATTATTGATGAATGATATCTGTGTATGCGAATGTATGTTGGTGGTGTAAACATTCAGGGCTTGCTTAGCTGGAGGCAGGAATCTAAATTCCTATCTATTTCCATTGTAGCTGTTGTCATAGTAACAATAAAGAAATGTCTAACTGTTGTTGGAAATATCAGATAAACCTTATTTTATTAACGCAAATGTCATTCCTCTTGTTCTTGCACCTTAAGCCACAACAGGACCACCTTTTTCAGTTGTAGTTTTACACTTATAATCGCCAGTTTTAGTTTACATTCACTCCATACATGTGAGATTAAACACTCATGTAAAGCGCTTTGTGACTAGCTACATGTCTGTGAAAGGCACTATATGAATACAGATCTTCTTCTTCTATTGCAGCATGTCATATCAGTATATTGACAGTCTCCTAGCGCCTGCATTGACCAGGTACCACTAGCCTGGTTTTACCATACCCTCGTACTTGTTTCGTACAGAGGGTACATCCCGGGAAAAAAAGATTTGACCGGAGTTTACGGATGGCAAAGGCCAGGCTAAGGTACCACAGAAAGCTGTCGCTTGTAGGTTTACAATCTTGTCCCTATCGGCATCCAGCAGAGTCCTGGGAAAACAACCCAAAGGCATGGCCCAGGCTCGAGTATCCAGACATATACAATTACCTCATCAAGTCCCCTGGTATGAACACCATGTGTACATACCATGTGTCCTACACTTGTAGTAATATTTAAATACCCATCAAGCATCGATAACATTAACTATGTTATGACATTCAAAAGCATTCTGTTACAATGTGGCTGTAATGAGCTCAGTCTGTCAGTGGCACAGCTTGTACAGTGTAAGTGAGGGACACAGTTTTTTTCAAAAGCCAAAAAAGGCTAACTGCAGAAATTCCACTTATTCCCCACACAACTAGTGCATTTCATTGTTGCTTATCGGTGTAGAGCTGCCGACCATTATGCATAGCGATGTCATAACATAGCAACAGAAAACAGTGGCATGGCATTGGTATTATTTTGTTATTCTTTGATTTGCCCCTCAATGTGTCCATTCATTTGAGATTACATTTCTATTTAAATTTTAAAGTAAAATGGCATACCCTCTATTCACACTTTTTATGACCGGTTATTTTTTGCAATAACCAGTCATCAGATTACATTTTATTATATTATATATGTAGTGTCTAACGACAACAGCAAGACTTTAACATTTCTAATGAGAAATAGTTTATTAGACATTGTATAAGTAGAAATACTAAAAGACGTGAAGATTGACATGAAAACATTTGTATCATTTACTTGCAATTTGTCAGTGTTTTTGCTCTGGTCAATTGTCACTCTCCTAGATGTGATATGTTAATGTATAAAAATAAAATTATTTCCCTTTCTTCATTTTCTTTTGTTTCAGGTGTATTTAGTATTATGATGGTGGAGACCGAATCATTGCTGATTTTGTCAATGCCTAATTCCGTCTGCTGCAGGTCTTGCATTTCCATGCAGGGTGTTGACACTTCTTGTTGCAACTCTTCTGGGACACTTGTCTCCTCAAATTCCAGTTGCTTCTTCACCTTCCTTTCCTTTCGTGATACTAGAGTAGTGGATGGTGCTGAAAAAAATAGATAAAAGGTATATATTTTGCAAATGATCACAGAAATTTTAAGTCATGGCCTCATATTTATAATAATAATAATAATGCATCAGTTTTATGTAGTGCTTTTCTGGACACTCAAAGACGCTTAACATTGCACTATTCATTCACTCCATACTTGGTGGTGGTAAGCAACTATTATAGCCACAGCTGCCCTGGGGTAGACTGACTGAAGCGAGGCGACCAGTCTGCGCCATCGGCCCCTCCGACCACCACCAACCACTCACTCACTCGGCTTCCTGGTGTTACTAAACGGCAGTATATTTAGTATTGAGTTGGATTGGGACGATAAGTCATAATAGTCGACTATGACTAGAAAGCAGCGACCAGTAGACTAGTTTTGTACTATAAATACCATCTTACCAAGAATTTCCAGGCTAGGCATTATGTACAAAAATCTGCATGACTAGTTACTTTGTAGATGCAATGACTTTTTCATACAGGAGGTAATTTTGTTTTCAAGGAAAATACATTTGTTAGCAAAATCTGTATTTTTACACAGATTACCATTTTTGTAGCAGTTAACCTCCCAAGTACTACTTTTTCAAATTGGTCATTAGAAATCAACATGTATTTTTTATTTATGTATTTCATATGGGGGACAACATTCTATTTCACAAGGTGCTTGTATCAATTGTTGTACACAACCTCATTGCAATATGGAATCTTTTAATTCTTAACTGTGCATTGGAAATGCAGCTCATTATCTGCAGGTACGGTTTTACTGCAGTGTAAAATAAGAGCAATAAACACAATTTGCTACTATATATATGTCTGCATAAACAAAATCGACTGCAATTTGTTAGTTTTAAATTTCAAGTGTTGTGTCAAACAAATTCAGATAATTTTTGGTCATTGATCTAGGAGCAAACTAGATGCATGTTGATCACACTACAGTTTGATGGTTTTTTTTCTGTTAACGATAGGGTACTGTGGGTAGCAAACTTACCTTTTCTTTTCTGTGCTCTCTTGAAGCGATCAAGTGTGGTACTCTTAGTCAATTCCTTCAGCACTGCTTGCGGGAAAATGGACGGAGTGTAATCTGGGTATGCGGGGTTGTTGTTCTTCTTTCCTGTTCAAGGAGCAAAGTGACAAAATCTAAAGATTCCCACTGAGTAGCTCCAAGCCAGCTGGAGCCATTTCTCTCTCCTTTCTGGCTCAGTTGCCTCGCTAGGGATCATGTAAAAGGATAGGTCACTCCTTTTTACGCTGTTGTTGGTACAACCAACAATACAACAGTTTTTCGGCATGTTTTGTAACGCTTGTTTGTCTTTCGCTTCGTGTTGCTTAATGGCGGGCGCTGGTTTGTTTTACCCTTCGCCGCGTTGCTATGCGCGCGCAGTGCATTATGGGAGTCCAAGTTCCCGGATGTCCGACCTCGAGAATGTGTTATTGTCATTTGTTGTTCTGTTTCGTTAACAAAATGAAAATAGCCCCCCCTATTTCAGTCAAAAAAAAATGATAAGGACCAATCAGGACCAGTTGGCACCCCGAACTCAAAGATGTCATCAGCTAAAGAAAAACGTGAATAGGGATTTAACAAGAAAACTGCCTGTATACTACCTAAATCCATAAATGGCAATAAAAAGTGACTCAGCTGTGAAAGGGAAAACCCATTTTAGAACAAGACAATATTGTAAACGTTTAAATAACAATACATGATTGTAAAAAGTACATGTCTATGTTTATGTATGTGTATATGCATATACAATTTATATATATTAGGGTGGGGTCTATGACGAGTCATCATAGGCCAAAACAACAGGGCAATCAGCTTCTGCCCAGCTCACTTGTTTGTTCTCAAAAAAGGTAATCAAACTGATTAAATTAAATCTTTACTAATGTTTTCAGGTGTTATAAGTACGATTCTAACCATTGCCCCAAGCTGGCTCTAGACTTGTGGCAAAATGAGGGACAGACAGGTATGGGTATTTGTTTATTTTACGTAATAACTACAACAAAAACATAGATACAAAATAAAGAATGAGGTGTGAGTTTGTGAGCAATGGAATGTGTGCAGTGTGTGCAAGTCAGTGAATGAAAACCAGTGTATGTGTGTATAACCAAAGCTAATCTTAATGAAAAAACAAACAAAGAAACAATGATCCAGTACCTGGAGGGAGCAGCGCAGAGAGAGAGAAGAGACACATTTTTATGCACAGGTTTGCCCAATCACTGGGTCCTCCCTGTCAGGTAGGGAGGGGCCGTGACAAACAAGTAACTTGGATAATCTCCATCAGAGTTGTGAAACCTAAAGAATGAGTTCCTCAAGCTGCAGTGTCTGCTAAAAGGCCCCACTGCTCCCCCAGGGCCATCATACCGATACCAGACCCACAGCGATACAGTCCTCAGTGGCCCAGTCTTCAGAGAAAGATTACAAAGAGGTTTGAGATTCACCATTGAAGACAAGTGTTTGATGTTTTGTCTGAACAAAAATATAAACACAACCATCCGATAAAAAGATAAATATTTCTCACGCATTGCAACACTTTGCATAGAGTTGATCAAGTTGTTTATCATCCACTCCTCCTCAATGTGGGAGGTTGTCGAACCTTTCACCCATTATTATATATTGTTATATCTAGCAACGTTGATAAAAGGTCATTAAAGAGGAATGGAGCAATATTCAACAGGCCACAATAAACAACCTGTTGAAGAAAACTGTGGTCTTATCTTATACTGATTGGATTTCTGACATCCCAGACTCCCCAGAAAGTAAAAAGAAAAAAAACATGTTTAATGACCTCTAATTGTGGACAGTCGGCACCTGGGCAATATTCATGCTGTCTAATCAGAATTAGAAAATACCACAGGTATGAAGGGCTCACTGAAACACGTTGATACAAATTTGTGAGTATCTGATATATGGGTTTATCACTTTAAGTTGAACTCATGACAAATGGAAGCAAAAACAAAAGCGTGGAATTTGTTCAGTGTAGTGTTATCCAATATTATTTCTTATCTGCTTGACAAATAAATAATTCCACACAGTACTTATTTGAGATGACTGCTGTTGTGGTTTTAGGTGCTACAAAATACATTGATTTGATTTGAAATGTTGTGAAAACAGAACCTTTTTTTTTTTTTTTACAATTCCTTGACATCCCAAACAAATACATCCACAAACTTTACCACAGATGGCAGCAGCAAAAGGCTAAAACCAGCATAAGGACTAATAATGTTTGAGTTAAAGCAGTGGGATTATAACTTTGAGGAGCTGCGTTACATCTGCTGTGGATCAGCCTGTATCACAGGTCCTGTCTGTTTGGGAGGGGCTGTGATTGATTCACCCTAAGGAGGGATTCCTGCTCCAGACCAGCTGTGTCTGATGCACAATGGTCAGTTTGTGCCTGGATCAGCTCAGAATGACAGCTGCCTGTGTCTGACCGGCACTCTGGATAGACTATCTCCATCCAACACATAGTCTGAGAATATCACAAAGAACTACTATTCAGCTGCTTTATGTCATCACTGTTTTTTCCACCTTGACATTATCAAAGTCCAGTATTAAATGAATGTTGACATATCTTGGGGCAAATTGACTTTTACTGGGCATAGTCTCTGGAGCTACAGTATATTTGTGGGCATAAAGCTTAATTTGTGGATGTGAAACAAACAAACATGTGAACATATGTCCGCAAGTCACTTAAGTCAGTTTACATCTTTTGAAACAGATCCATACTTGGTCCAGTTGAAGTGAATCAGACTAACAAGAGTGAACACAGTTACTGAAAGTGGGTCTTGTTACTAAAAGGCTTTATTTCCCAAAGATGCCTCATATCACATTTTTAGCGGATGTAGTGGCATCAACAGTAGAATGTTTATACCCGATTTATGAGTGGAGAACCCCTAAACCCCACAAAACTATACTACAAGGCAATCTTGTCATTAATTGCCACTATTGAAATATACTTTTGGACGTATAAATAGGAAGTCTGCATTTAAAATGTCTGCGTGAAGCATAGACTGTACATGACGTAAAGCCTTCATTACACGACAGACTGATTGTACATGTATTTGTGGTTACGGCTGACATTGAAGCTGCCAAAACACAGAATGTAAGGTCTAAAATGCAAGCCCAGCATCCACCTGTCATTCACACACATTGCATCACCTCCTCTGAGCCGCTCGTGACACTTTTGCTTGGTGCAGCGTTTTACAGTTTATAGGCAGCGCATGTGGTGTCTGTCTGTTGTTAGGCCTCAACAGGAGTTGCCCAACTGTGGCAAAGCTCTGCAAAGCAACAACTGCAAAAACCAACTGGTATTTGGTATTTTAGGGTCAGCCCGGTGATTGCAGAACTCAGAAATGTTTTGTGGCAAAGCAAAATACAGCTTTGACTTAATATGGCTCCGTTGGTGAACTTTAACCAGTGCTTATAAAACCACAAGTAGTTGTATCATGGGGAGAACAGCAATGGTATGCAATAAACAGAATGATGAAAGCCCATTATTAAGGTTATGTGATGTTGGTCCAAAGTTTTCTGTACGTCATCTGCATACAGTTCATCTTAACTTACAATCTCAAAATTCTAATCAATGAAAAAAAAATCACGCTTATCACTTGGAGTTTGTAGTTTTGTCCAAAGCTGTCATTTCTTTTCATCATTTCCCACTGATACATTCAGCAGCGCTGTATAAAGTGTTTTAAGTGTTTTGTAAATTCTTGGAAGTCCGAGTGGAGATCAGACTTCCGCTGCGTGGTTCGGGTCGACAGTGTGAAGGAGGCCCACAATGATGTCATTGAACATGATCTAAGTTTGTGGCCAGATGATTGAATCATACATTTTCCTTTAATTTAGGAATATTAAACGAACAGAGCTCTGCTCTGTGGATCTGCACCTCAGCCTTTTCTCACTCATGGTTCATTTGAATTTCTTCAAATTAGAGTAAAGTTTTTATTTCACAGCTTTTTAGATGGATAGACCGCTTCCATTTGCCAATTAAGCATCAAGTCATACTTTATAAGCGAGGATGTGATGATTCAGGAAAGCTCATTACTGCATAACTTAAATCATAAAACATACCTGGAATAGAGCGCTGACTTACTGGAAAGGTTGCTATATATTCATAAAAATGCTCATATTTTCTGAGAATATTTATGGCATCTGAAAACATATTCCCACTTTAAGACCCGAGTTTGAGGTGAGTGTGTAACTATATAGATCCAGTTACTTTGAGCAATACAATTGGCTGGTTGCATTTAAAGTGTGGAACTATTATGTTTAAGGCTTAAACAGAGGATGTGTTGTGGAAATATGAAACATTTGTGTCTTTATTTATAGAATATCCTATAAATAAAGGATTCCTGTAAAAAATAAAACAAAGAAAAGATTTTAGAAACTGGAAATGCAATGCAAAACTCAAAAAGGTGACAAATGTTTAATATTGGCTAAGAATGACTGGAACAGAAGTGACACAAGCGTCCCTTTCCCTTCAGAAGATGTTAACTTCATTTTGTGGCTTACTTTCTATTCCTGCCCCTGGGACCCTCCCTTATGCACATATGTTCAGCACTGCGCACCTGCTCCGCGTCCAACAGTTGATACATTTGTCCACATGATATACTAATTATAGGCCACATTAATGCTTTATCGCTGGCTCTGACTTTGGTACATTCCATGGTAGTTAAAGATGTAAGTATATTTGTTTTGCATTTACACATGAGATACCATTCTTTTGGGTCAAAAGGAAATACCACCATCACCACAACTTGATGTGTAAATTAATAATGATCATTTGTTTTAAATACATTTTTATATAAATACATTACATTGGACCATACTCCACACTATACACTAATAATTTGGAGTATGGTCCAAAAACCCCAAGGTCAAGGCTTCCAGATACAGAATAAAAAAATGGTAATGGCAAACCATGCAGCCAGACATCGTGGTGGTGGACGTGGCAATTCCAAGCGACGGTAGCATGAAGAAAAATGAGCAAGAGAAGCATATGAAATACCAAGGGCTCAAAGAGGAACTGGAGAGGAACTGGAGAGGAGCTGGAGAGGAACTGGAGAGGAGCTGGAGAGGAGCTGGAGAGGAGCTGGAGAGGAGCTGGAGAGGAGCTGGAGAGGAGCTGGAGAGGGCCTGGAGAGGAGCTGGAGAGGGCCTGGAGAGGAGCTGGAGAGGAGCTGGAGAGGAGCTGGAGAGGAGCTGGAGGGTAAAGGTGACAGTAGTGCCCGTGGTGATCGGTGCACTCGGGACAGTGACCCCGAATTTATTTTAATATACCATCACTTTATTCTTTTTCTATTTTCAGGTTGTTTTGCAGGAGCAATGATGTCCAACACATTTTTTCACTGAAGGCCAAAACCAAAATAGGCAGCTGAAATTGACAATTAGATGGAAATATATTAGATTCAACTGATTTTAATATGAAGCAGCACTGTTTGGACTCCACACACACAATGACTGTTTGTAAACATGAACAAAATTGTACATGTAATTACAGTTTTGGTATATAATTATGCATCTTTTTGAGATGATCTCATCTTCTCGAACACAGAGGCCGAACTGTCAGGTAGGTCCATTGTTATATAAACCCCTGGGGCCACCTTGTAAGCCAAAAAGAACAATCTGCTATTAAATCTTTTGAGCTGAAGATAACCATCTCTTTATTCAGCGATAAAACCCGCTGCTGACCTATTTGCTTTTAAAACAACATCTGTAAAAGTTTTCCAGTGTATTTATTGGTATTTCTTGTTTACTCCCAATTATAAAATGACAGACTAGGATTACCTCAACTCATCTAGAACACTATTGTGCAGTTCAAACCGTGACTCAGGATTGGCATGCTTCAACTTTTCCGTTTGCCCAAAGCCTTCGTCAAAAAAAAAGTCTGCATTTTCTCTCTGTGACATGAGCGTTAGAATAATCTATCAAGCACCAGGTTTAGTGTACGCGTAAACGTAAATATGTACCTCACCTTGGATTGAGAGTTTATTGCGTCTTTTCTTGGCAATGGTCGTCGATATACAAATGTCAACTTCAAAGTCACGCTGGCGGACTGGGCTTCTACACTTGATTAAAGCAAATCTCTGTTTGATGAATACATCGTACGGCACACGGCTCCTAAAATGAGACTTGAAGGTACTTAACGTCCGGCTGTGGGATGACATCACAGGGTAGAGGTTAAGCTGAGCCCTGTGTTCACTGCAGATGTGGAAGAGTACTTACATGTGGAGGTAAAACTAGTGCTGTCGCGTTACTAACATTTCAGACTTGTTTTCAATAGATAGAAGATTCAAAATAACAATAACTTTCAAACTAACCCTCTAAACCGGTTGATCAAAATCTCCTCTTGCCCTGGTGCTATCCTCGGATTCAAATGACCCGCCACAGTGATTACAAGTAGTAGAAAAATACATTAAAGTAGGGTCTAAAGGGATTAAATGACCCTGGGCTGGTCCAGTTAGGAAAAATCATCAACTAAAAAAAGATACAGGGTTTTGTTTATTCACTGGCTGTTAGAACAAGGTTTAGAAATTTTCAATTTTGGCCTGTGTGGTGATTCTTTTACTAATGCATTTTATTGAAGTCTCATAAATGAGCCATCATGGGTCTATATGACACTGACGTTAATTAAAAAGCCATACGTATAGTATTGTGTTGTATAACAATTGTAAATATAGTTAAACAATCAATTCATATAAATAATCTTTTATTTATCTTTTCAGAAGGAGCCCAAAGTGAGTTCTCTTTCCTGCGCTCCCTGTTTCAACACACAGAAGTAGGCCTACTCAAAATGACACAAGCCGATGACTGTTTTATAATCATAATGTGTTGGTAGTCATCTCTGTTGATTGATTTGATCCTCACATGGGGCTTGGGAAAGGTGCAGCTTTTTCTTGTTATCTAACCTTTGATATGGGAAAATTGCTTCCTGCTGCTTCCAGTTGCCATGTGAACGGATCACATCACGTGATGGAGTGACTTCATCCTGTCATTCAGACCCACCGCCGTCTCCGTGCTTTGCCCAGTCGTCCCCAGCACAAATAGTGAATGACTTGTATAAGACACAAATAATTACAATGTATTTTCAGGAGACCGCATAATCTTTCAATCTTTGGACTTGTAAGTGGAATTAGATCATTCTCAACTATATAAAACATAACAAATGAGTTGTTTCTAGTCTAAAGAGTCTAGAGCAGCCAACAAAAATGTAAGAATTCCCAGTTGACCTCTGTTGATTGCCAAGAACAAATCCTCTGGACTCATACGCCGTCATGAATACTGTATAAAGGCATCTGAATCTCTAATATTCTCTCCACTGTGACTTTCATTTATGTCCCACATGAAACTTCATCAGCTAATAAAGCTGGGCTCCATAACTATATTACATAAAGAAGACATTTTATTTGTACCAAAAGACAGAGTAATAGGTTATTGTATAACCATAATGAATGAGTTTGTTTTTTTATTCAATATAGAATTGAAAAGTGCATCTCATTTCAATCTTTTAGGTTACGTTTCTGAAAACAGATATTCATATTGCATATGCCAAACCCAATTTGTTTTTTCAAAAACACTTTTCTTGTTTCCATCAAAGAGCTGTCTGAAAACGTATGTGTGCTCTCTGGGATACAACCATTACCGCACCAAAGCGTTTTTCAAAAGATTAAATAAAATCCACAAAGCCTTGTAAGAACAATGATGTCACTGTGAAAGAAAACCGTGCGTTCTGCATCACTTCACTCAATGCAATGTGACAATGTTGGCAGATTGCCTCCTAAAACATGGATTTCTGAGTAAGATTTGGTTTTATAGAGTGATGTCATACAGACTTGCTGAGGCTCCTCTCAGTGATAAGAGCCGACATGTTTTGCAGCAAACAGGACTCCCAGGTTGAGCAGCCGCAGGTGTGTGTCTGTGTCAGCCCAGAACTATGCATTACACCCTCTCAATTATCACCAGAGGCTGGCGGCACACATTCATAATTATTTCTGTTTTATTTTATTGACTAAACTGTAACATCTTTGTCTCACTCGCCCAGCAGGTACTCTAGAGGCCCTGCTTGAGCCATTTATAATATGTAGGGACACAAAAGTTAAAGGACTTTTCAGATAACTCTTTTGAACAACTGAACTCTTTCACCAGGGTTGTATTTTGTCTGTGTGTCCCGTTACTATTTAATACGAATTACTTCAAGGTGGGGAAGTGGTTAGAGCTTGTGTTTCACAGCGAGAAGGTCCTGGGTACGATTGCACGTCCAGGCCTCTCTGTGTAGATTTTGCATGTTCTCCCTATGGATGTAGGTTTCCTCCAGGTGATCCGGTTTCCCCTACCACTATAAACATGTACAATTGGTCTGAATGTAATGAACGAGTGAATGGATGGTGTTGATTGTGCCAGTTCAGAAAAATGTCTTGTAAAGCTATATACTGTAAATGTGCTATATAAATAAAGATCGCTTACTTACTTACTTACTTTTGAGTCGGTCTCATGCTTATTTTGGAGTTCCCTCCCTGACTGAAAATTTGGTGAACCCCCTGCTCTTAAATTTTGTTGCATTTAGTTGATGAGGTGCAGATAAAACTGGCTGAAGGTGAATTCAAAGACAGATACAGTCACTACGTGTTGTTATTATTTTCTCAAAAAGCGAAAAAGAGTTTTCAAATGAGGCTATACATGCACTCACTTACCCCTCTGGACCCAGGCCTGGCTCTGACCTCCATATCCAGTGAAATATCTTCTTGAAATGAAACACATGCCTTAGCTGTTTGGACATTACTTGAGTAAACGTACTAACTCTTACCCACATCTAAGGAAGCGTGTTCTAATGTTCGCTATGTCCCAATCCAAACTGTTGACAAATTGAACTCCACAGAGCCCTCATGTGGATATTATGTCATGAATACTTCTTTTGTAATGTGTTTATATTTCAATCTGGCCATAAACTTGACTCCAGTGACTGCAGAGCCCAGGGGCAACTGTCTGGGAACAGCGAGGTCAGAGTGGAGATGTGAGTTCAGACCTGAGTGCCAACAACAAAGGAATTCTCTCATTTTAGATCAACAGATAAGATTTTCTCGGCATGATTTTCAATTCCATTGTTTTTGTAACTTGGTATCATGCCCAAATGTCTGTCCCATACTGGACTATTAAGAGCAGCTGTAAATAAAGCGCACCAGCTTAATTTGAAAAAAAAAAGTAGATTTTGTCCACGTTCAGGCCGCACTGGAATGTAAGCCACAGGAGTTTTATTTTGTAAACACAAACAACTGATGGAGCAAAATGACCAGATGAACTGTTTTAGCTGTTGCACTTATGACCGGATCAGATTCAGATTCAGTTTATTTGCCATTTGCAGTAAAATCATATTGGAATACCTCACTCATTACTTATTGAGTAATTATTGTACATGTTTTTAGTGGTGGGTGAAACCGGAGCACCATCCTATACTAGATACAGGGAGAACATGCAAACTCCACACATACAGTAAAGGCCTGAAGGTGGAAATACAAAGGGACATGAATCCAATTTAATTTCTAATGTCTATAATATTTACAGGTATACTGACTTTACTGTCACCACAATCACTATTTTTTTTTTTTTGAAAGACCACAACAAAGTAACGGGAAACTATGAAGTGAAAGCAATATGATTTTGTTATTTTTTATAGACTATAAAACTGAAAAGTGGGTTACTTGGGAATGACTACGAGTTTTACTCTTATAGAGAGTGAAAGTTTTGTCCATTCATGGAGATGGAAAGCGATTGTGAACTTTTCAGGTCTTTCAACAGACGTCTTTAGGTTCGGACTTTGATTGGGCAATGATCCCTTCAGGGTCTTGCTTTATTTTTACGGTCATACTATAGTATGTAAAAATAGTGCCAGCCCCATTTATCTTTTCTTTTATGAAATCACGTATAATTTTGCATTCACTTCTCAGTTGGCTCTTTCACTTCTTGTCTTGTGTTGTCGTAAATAGGACAAACTGTGGATAAGCGCCGTTTGTATTAGCACTTTTTAATAAAACCTTGGGTACTTTTTCTTTTGTATTTGTCAAACACACTCAAATAAATCCCCCACACCCTTTGTCTTTTCCAGCATCACCACGACTTGTTTGAACTGTGTGGACTCAGAGATCATATGACCATTATAGTGATACCGCCCCGATTCAGAGTAGACTCTTCAGGTGTGAAACTCCCATTTCTCATTTTGTAGCCTCATAAGTTTGCGTTTGAAGCAGAAAAAAAAAACGGATTCATCTTATCTTTGCTGAAACTCAAAGCTGCGGGCCGATCATACCTTTGCGATGACATCGTCCAAGTGGAAAAGTACAGACCCCCTCCTGCTTTTCACGCATCTTTCCCCCAACACTGCAGCCATCACTCAGCCTTTATACAGGCCGCACCAGTGACATCACCCTTTGAAAAGAGGTTCACAAGTCATATTCACAGACTTCAATAAAACAGGGGCTATCTCACCACCACGGTGCCTGTGGTAACAACGCATCAGGTTTTCATTATCTTCATGGGCGGCCGTGGTATCAAGCGTGAGGCCAGACACGGCTTGTTTTTTACATTCATCCTCAAAGACTCAAAGATGCAAATAAAGGGAGACAAATCAAAGGTGCTTTTCAGATCTGGGGCTGACTGAGGCTCACGTCCTAATTATATCTACAGGATGTGGGCAGCTACACTCAAGCGTGGCACATTAAACGCAAAGCAGGGCAGAGAGGAGGATTTCCAGGGTAAACAACATAAGGAAGGTGTTACAGTAGCTTGATCAGGCTCTGCAGGCGGAGATAAGGCACCTGGTTTGAATCTGATCTCATGGTAACGCTAAGCAAACATAATTTTTTTTAAAAACAACGTTTATATATTTCAGGTGGAGGTCATGTCAGAGATCCAAAAGAGAGTTTTCAGTTTAGCATTGATTGTATGAACTAGTATGTGGTTCATGTGGGGTTGTCCATATGAGACAAGCCTGAAATCTCACATATAATAAGGGCTGTTATTTTCTTTTTTTTTCTTCATTGAAATTTGGGCCCTGATGAGACGCTGCAAAGCCATTAGCTAAAACGACCAGGCTTCTTATTCGAAGTACACAGCGTCTACACACAATGACAGAACACAATGTAGTTCTAGCGCCCGGTCAGTTGGGGGCAGTTGTTGAACTTACTAGTATAATCTCTTCCTCAACTACATCCTCCTCAGGCCACGGAAAATGGAAGCTGAAACTACAGCTTCGCGTGGTTTAGTTTGGACGGATGAAGGAGTAGTATTCTGATATCAGGAACTTCTGGTATAAATGTGTAACTCCGCCCCTTCTTTCTAAAAGCTCCTGTGTCAGTCTTGTAATACTATGGCCCCGTCCCAATACTCGCACTTCCACCCTCGCGCCCCTCATTTGCGCGTTCCCGATAAAGGGTGCGAGTGCGTAGGGTGTCCCAATTCTCCAGGGAGGTCTTTGGCCCCGCCCCCTTTGCGCCCCTGATCCACACTTCGCCGTAGCCTGCATCTATGCGCACTCTGGCGAAGGATATTGCCCATAATTCTTTGCGGTACACACCAAAACATCGGGAAAATGCATTTAAATATAAATGTTGAAATATATATGCAGTATGTGTGTAAATAAGTTTTGCTGTTATTTGGAAAGAAGCATATACGTCTGATGAAGAATTACGAACATTGGGCCTCATTCACGAATAACTTCGTAAGAAATTTAATCAAACTTACTCAAATTTCTTCTCAAGTTGTCCTTAAGTAGATTTCTAAGAAGTCCCTACGTGGGATTCATCAACGCACTCGTAAGCCGCTGAATTGTTCGCAGCTGTTCTCTTAGATTGATGAATCCCATTTCCTCGTAAGTACAGCGCGCGTGCCAGGTGCTTCATTAGCATAGGTACTTAGCATAAGTAACCGCCCACTAATGCCCATATAAGGGACTGCAGGGCCGTGTGCAGACGGCAGAGGAAACAGCAACAGGCCTAAAGCAAAGAGTTACACGGAGCAAAAGAGTCACCCTTTTTTCTTCTTTTACCAGACTGAGAATAAAGTTATAAAATGTTGACTTAAAAGTCGAAATATTATGAGAAAAAAGTTGAACTAGCAAAATTATGAGAATATGATAAGATTAATCTCAAAATGTTATGAGCTTAATTTAAAAATATATTTTGTATTATTTTAAAGATGAATCTCAAAATGTTTTGAGATTAATCTCAAAATATTTTGGACCCTGGGAGGAGATCCAGCGCGGACCAGCGCTGAGACCAATGCAGACCCGAGGAGAGACTGGAGTGACCAGCACACAGAACCCAGCGCGGACCTATAGGAGAGACCGCATAGACTGGAGTGACCTGACTGGAGAGACCGGTGCGCAGAGACCAGCGCGGACCGAAGAGAGACCGCATAGACCAGACTTGAGAGACCAGCGCGGACCCGTATGGATCCAGGAGCATGCAGCACGGACCCGTATGGAGAGACCAGTGCAGACCCGTCTAGAGCCATGGGAGAGACCAGTGCAGACCCGTCTAGATCCATGGGAGAGACCAGTGCAGACCCGTATAGATCCATGGGAGAGACCAGTGCAGACCCGTATAGATCCATGGGAGAGACCAGTGCAGACCCGTATAGATGCATAGGAGAGACCAGCGCAGAGACTCAGCGCGGACCCAGTAACCTCCTGCAGCAGCAGTATATATGCCGTTGTTCTGTGGCCCGTGGATAAAGAAATGCCCCCAATAAATAGGAAGGGGTCACTAATACACGGCAAGATTTCCAATGTATTTGATAAAGCGTTGGCACATTTCATTTCAAAATGAATTAAAAAGTAGGCCAGATCTGCAGTGAAAAAGGCGGTATATAAATAAAGATTACTAATAAAGATTACTACAAATAAATAAATACATACATCGATATGACGGAAATATCACTGGAATGTTGTATTTTTATTAAACTTCACCAAAGAGGACAACCCCGGCGTGTGAACATGTCGGCACTGAATGCGTACGAGTGCTCCTGAGGACTCGTAGGATTTGTACTTGCCCAAGAGAAATTCTGGTTACGAGAAAAATTCGTGAATGCCACTTTCTTCGTAAAAACCTCGTAAGTAGGATTTACGTACAAATCTGTTCCTAAGAACCGTTCGTGAATGAGGCCCATTGTGTTTTAACAATTTAATAACTTTTTAAAACAAGCGTTTATATAACATTCAATTTAAACTTTACACTTAGTACAATAATCTTAGAATGTATAAAACTGACCAGATAGTTAGTTACCCACATTTAACTTAAAATTATACAGCTATCTCTAATTAAAAACAACTAATATACATGTATTTTAACGTGTGTGAAGCAATTCATTTTGTTTCCCAAAGGGTCAGACAAAATTACCTTTAATGTTTATAAAGTTTAGGTCTGAAAATGACCATCTCTTGACGAGTCGATGACGTAACCTGCACTCAGTGTGCACTGTCCCAATTCTGCCTTTTGTGCACGCTTGCAACCTGCGCACTCCAACCCTGGTGTGCACTTCAAACACATGCACACTTCGTAGGAGGGCGTAGGGTGCAGTGTGGGTATTGGGACTGGGCCTATGAAGTCATTGTACCTCATCATAATCAGAGTTTCTCTGGTGAAAATGGATTCTTTACAATCACATGGCTGTGTATGGAGCTTGTCATTAAAAAAAAAAAAAAAAAACAAACCAACAAAATAATTAAACTCCTCCTTCTGGTGGTAGCATAGGGAATTACAGACAATATAGTTTTCTTTTACCCTCCCTAGTTTCACCATCATTTTCTACTGAAGATATTATTTTCTTATCTCGTTATCATTATTTAAAAGCCATAGATAAGACACTTTATTGACCTCACACAGGAAAAATGTACATGTCACATCTGGCATGGATAGAATCACTCAAGATTTGTGCAAACATGCAAAGAAGTGTGCAAAAATGCTAAAGGCAACAAATATAGTCTTTTCAGGATATATTATGTACACTTTATTGATCTTTAAACTAATTATCATGAAGAACAACATGATAGAACTGTTTAAAAAGTATACAAAACAAGTATATTCCAAACTTTTCAATCCCTCTCAAGAATAGAAGTTGTCGGTGATACTTTTCTGGATTGGTTTTTGCCATATTTGAAACTTAAAAGTTCCAATCCAATGTCATTTGTTTCATCTATTATTGAAAAAAAGATGAATCAAACCAGTACAAAGCTAGACATATTTTCTTTTTTTTGTCCATCTTTGGCACATCATAAAACATAGCAAATTACAACCTATCCCGACATACGGCTTCACACAGGTTCCAGTTATCACACTTCTTACTTTTCAGCACTGTCACGCCATGAAGCAGCCGCAGCACACATAAAGCGCACATTCAGTCACCAAAACGAGGAAATGGCATTTTAAACTTGGCCCAAACCTCTTGAACTCCACCCTTTGAGTCGACACTGGATTTATCTCTCCTTTCAAGCTGCAACGCATTAAAAACTCTTCCTCAGATGACTTCACCCTGAAACCGGATCTGCTCTCAAGGCATTTGTGAACCATGTGCGGCGCGGCTACTACATGTAACAGTACGTATGTAACGCTCAAAACACAGCGCCATGTATGGTTTTCTTCTTACCGCTTGTTATGTAAGTCAATGAAGTAAGTGAAGGACTCGTTTTTGGCCGATTGTGAGGCCTTATAGCAGTGAGCGTTGTGTTTCACTGGTCACCAAAGAGTGATGGAAAGCAGTAGCAGACTTGTGGAAAGAGGCCACCTTGAAACTGTTCTTTTTCTATTGTATATTGAACTATTAGGTCATGGTAGCTTTGTGTCTTTCTGCAGTTATATTAAAAGCAAAATCCTGACAGCACATGAAAGACAGAGGGTCCAGGGACAGGGATTGATCCAAGTTGGCTGTGGTTCTATAATGGATAACTTGTTTGCACCATATGCCAATGCTAAATTCCAAGTTAGTGACTTCCTGTACTTACAATGGAAATCAAAAGAACTCTGATTCTGATGACCCCAGACATTTCACAGTATGCACATTTATGGACATTTGTTAATCCATCCTATGTATGGTTTATTGTTCTTTTTCGTATGCGTTCTAATTGTGTGGATTTTTTTTTTCATGTTTTAAAATCTGCTTTGATAGTAGATAGTTGAAAAAATCCCCCAGACTGTTTTAGTTGTAAACTTGTGATTAAAGGCTGAGCTGCCGAAACATTGACAACGCTGTGAATAAAATCACGGGTTTGGAAGTAAGTGCAGGATTTTTGTACTATTTCGGAAAATTCCACATGGAAATCGATGTGCAAAGCATTCCATTCACATCTGATTTGAGTGTAAAGTGTAACAGGCCTATGTAAGATAACTGAAAAAACAATCATGACAAATTCAATAATGAGGGAGCAGTGGTTAGCACTTGTGCTTCACAGTTAGGAGGTCCTGCGCTTGCACCTCCAGACCTCTCTGTGTGGAGTTTGCATGTTCTCCCCATCTCTGCGTAGGTTTCCTCTGGGTGCTCCAGTTTCCCCTACTACTAATAACATACATAATAGACTCCAACACCCTCCCCAACCCCACTCTCGCCCCCTCCTTCTGGGGCCAAGACTTTTAAAAAGATTCTAAAGTCTCAGTTTGACTTTTCTGGTTAAATAAAATGTTTTTCAAGTTTACAACTTATGCTAATAACTCTATCATTATTGTTACTTCTTGTTTTATTTGTTGTTGTTTTTATTTGTTTGTTTATTACAACAAGTATTAATAAAATAAAATAAAAACAGATTTGTCCAAATTGGCTCTCTTCTTTCTATCTTCTGATTTATCTGGCCTTAAAATGGTCCATTCTCTGCTATATCTCCTTTGTCAAGTATGTTATGTGCACTTCACTGAACATGTTATGTAGCTGCTCAAACTCAGAGCCAGGTGTTAGTGTCAGTTCAGGGGTCATTAAAGTGAAGAGTGAAAGTTCCTTTTTTGGGAAAGCTTTGCAGATGGAAGCAGAATCTCTTCTGCAAATATTTTCTCTACTCACTGCCCTCTGGGGTAATCCCTGTTCCCTGGACAAACGCACACCACCCTGACATACCAATCATTCAGGCCGACATGTGCTCGCTGAACCCAGCCTCCTCCTGGGAGTGGGCTCATCATCTGTTTGACTGTGCCCTGCTCCACACATGTGTCGTCCCAAAAGCTCTACTTTAGAGGCTGGACATGACTGTGTGACAACTGTGCTTCAGAAAAGGGAAAGTCATGTCCAAAGCCGAGGATCTCACTTTCACACTTGCACAGTCAGTGTTCACATGGGCCTGAGAGGCTGAAAGAAGATTCTTCTAAAACAAGCTCCTTTTGTTTTGTAATTTCAGCTGAGGGACAAAGGAAAACTCTCCAGGGCTGATCTGTTCCTGGAGTAAGGTAGGGCCGTGTGGGTGTGTGTCCAAGTGTGCAGCTTGAGGATATTACCTCATGGCGGATAAGCCGTGATTGAAGAGGGCTGACAGAGGTCTGTGCTGTGACTTCATTACTGAGCTCTTCTTATCTAGGGAGACTTCAGGTTCAGGGGGAAGTTTTGACAGCCAGCGTTTACCTTCATTCAACTGTGCCAGTCCTGACAGACAGAAAGAGAGAGAATAGTTTAGAGCGCAGAGAGCTGGTGACTTCATCCACTCTCTTGCCCTCCACTTTTCCCCTCCTATTTTCAGTTTTTTTTTTTTTTTTTTTTTGTTGAGAGCAGTCAGGCAGCATGCCAGCGGTTTTCCTCCTGCTGCGGACCCTGGTTATCAGGCTGCTCAGTAGCAGACTGGCCGGCTCAGTGGCACAGTTCCTCAGGAGAACACTGTCTTCAGGCGCTGCTCATCTGAGCACAGCACTCCGTCACGTCTGGGACCGGCTCCGCTCACAGGAGTCTAAAGAAGCCGTCCTGGGCTGTGTGCTGTGTATTCTCAACATGCACAAGAAGGTGGAGAGTTAAGCTCCAGCCCACTTTCACTTGGAGCTTTCACTTGCTGCTGCTCAGACTGACAAGGAGACGGGCAGAGGGCTCTGAGAGGGATGTGAATGACTTTGTTTTGGGGATCATTTGGACGACAGAAACTGGACACTGTTGTGTTTGGGAGCCAGCCATGTCTGAGAGCATAGTGAGGAAGGTCCAGCCCTTCACTATAGGGACAAGGCTGTCTGTCCCAACAAAGTGTCAGGACTTTACACCAAATTATCTGCAGAGCTCGAGTCTGGACAACTGCACTCTTCAGCACAACTTGAACTCTCTTTACCTTAGCCGCTCTGCGGTCTGTGCCCATGGCCCCCAGGGGTCCCCTGTGCTGCAGACACCAGTGAGACAGGAGCAGGAGGACATGGCAGCGGAGGACCAGCTGAACCAGAACATCGCCTCAGCCGCCGCAGTTGCCCGCTCCATAAAGAAAATCACTATATCAGTAAACGGGGAGCGAGCTGAGCACAGGACAGCCAAGAGAACAGCATGTGTGTTTGTGCCAGGGGCCACAGAGAACAATAACAACAACAACAACATCACTGACCAAAGCTTTCCCAGGATAGTGGGAGTGAGCTGCGAGAATAAACCAAAGTCGCAATTCAAGGTAACACATACTTTTTAAGTCTAATTTTGTTGCAGTGATTGTATATCAAAATTAAATTGAAATAAAGCATGTTGGACTTATTTAGTCATCGTGATGTTTAATTTAATGGTTAAGCCTTGATGAAAGTACACCGTTTATTACTAATTATATTCAAATTCATTGTGACATTTTTAAACCTTTGTATTTAATAACTCACGATCAGTGAATGAATTATGACACAGAACGTCAGCCACTTTTTGGTTTATTCAATTCCGTTCAAACCACTTTATAAAAGAAAGCCAGAGTTTGACCGTAATATTTAGCACAACTTTATGAATACTTTTATTGTAGGTGCTGCTGAGAAGAGAGAGCTGCAATGAACAGACAGCGAAGGCAGAACAGCCCAGTCCACACCAGGTGAGGGATGCTGCTGACTTTTTAAGTGAAATAATTAGCATAACAATTATAAATGACATGAACATTGCTATAGATGCACTTGTATGAATGCAGCATAACCCAGGAGCACGTTTAGAGCTACAGTATATACAAGGTTGAAGCAACAAAAAAATATATATATTTTTTCATTTTCCGGCCACAACACCCAAAGCTAATTGTAATCCGTGCCTGCGTATTAAAGGATATTGTTAAAAGTCAGTGAGCTGTTGGAATTGGCCAGTCCTCCGTTGAAGTCATCATGATGTGGATAAAACTGCTGTAAAGTCTAAACAGCGGAGCAGACCACGCGGAGGCAACAGGCCCACTGGAAAACATGAGGTCAGGGGAGATGTTAACAAAAGGGAAAGAAAAAAAAAAGCCAATGGTTTGAACCTGGCAACGCAAACACTTTGACCCATAGACTGCCTCATTTCCCCTTTCAAACGACACCACTCATCACTGCTTCATTTATGTCATAACCACACAACAATAACTAATTTCCCCGGTCTCATTGTCAATCCAAAATGGTGCGTGAGGGAGGATGCAGGAGCGATTGCCAGATTTCTTTCAAGGTGACGTGTTTACCTGTGTAGAGCAGAGGTCCAAGATTCTGTACGAACTCATTTCCTCTTTGCTCAGATGTTTCCTGATTAGACAACCACAAGAATAACATGTCCATCGGTGAAGCCGTGTACAGTATTAGTTACGGCCCTGACGCGGGATGGAGTCTGGCATGTGTTTACAATGTCAGACGGTGTGACATAAGCTTGCAAACATTTCTATGATTGATTATTTTATCGGGAGAGAACCACCCAGTTTGTTTCGTGAAGTTATGAAGTCTTTTGTGTCACTATTGGCATCAAAGCTATGAACTGGCCTTGATAATAGGCTCAATGTCCATATAGGTCTACTTTGTTTTGTGATATATCTGTCACATTCAAAGTTTAAATGAAAGGGGAAATAGAGAAAGAAATATTTATCAAGCTATATACCGAAACTAGCTTATGTGAATTTTGGGATGAATATGACTAAATCTGATCTTTTTTGAACAGCTTTAATGGTATATAATCATAATAATGAAATCATTTATTCATTCTTAAAATTGAAATTTGTGTCTTATTTCAAGCCATTTTCATCTTACTTTTAGGGTTGCCAGTTTGTTAGGTGAAATTCAGCTGGTTTTGATTAACTATTGCAAAAAATAGCACTGGATAGCACAGACACCCGGTACAACAAAGTAAAAGTCATGCATAACACACAGAGATTGTTCTGTTTTTAGCTAAACCCCAGCAGGTGGAATGCATAAATGTGTCGCAGTCATATAGATTCTGACAACAAAAGAAGGATTGTGATTGTAATGTGAAAGTATTTTATTCGACCATGAAGAGTGTTACTTACTGTCCCTTAAAAAAGGCAATTTTTTCCAGTGTATTTTTTTTTTTTTCAGTCAACTTTTGTTGCAGCTCTAGATTCTTCAGCAGGATTTCAGATAGTACATTGTAGCAGCTAGCTCAGTATTTGTCCCCCCCCCTTGAAATAAGGACTCTTGCTTTTAATTTGTGATGGATACATTTTTTTAAGTAGCTTGATGCCAGAGAGTTTACGCTGGGACTGTGAAGATGCAGAGTAGATTTAAACAGGATAGGTTCAGTTCATGGTCTCACACATATGTAGATTTAGACACAAATATTTAGTAAGCAGAACAAAGAGGAAAAGGTCGGAGGCATTCTGATTTTTAAAATAGAAGATTTTTATCTGAATGTTTTTGTTCTTCTTCTTATTTTCCCACGAGCCTCGGAGAGCACCTGATCTCTCTCGTTTGTTTCTACATTTTTGGATCCCTGAATGCACCCGTTCCTTGTGTAATGTTACAAAACTGTAAATTCCGCCGCGTAGACAACAGTCTGTGATTGTGGAATAAAGGTTAATACTGAGCCTTAAATCAAAGTGTTCACATTAGCTGCATGTTGTTTTATCCAGGTCTCTTCACCTGATTCTGAGTCTCAGGGGAAAGACATTCTTCCAGTGGCTGCGGCTGAAGGATCTGCAGGTGATTCATCCCAAAGCGACAGCTTCACTCAACGGAACTCGCTCTTCAACAAGGAAGTGCTGCAGGTACATGACATAGACTCCAATAGATCTCTACTGAGCCGGAGAGGGACATGATGAATGTTTTTCATTTTGCAGAATATACTGAATAATATAAGAGAACCTACATTCATTCCACAGTTTTGATATGAAAGAACAATTAATAAAACTAATGGATAATGATTTAAAATGAAAGTGTGGATGTGTGAATACATGACTTTTGGGACTATCCAACAGTTTCCCAAGTATTACACATGAAGTCATAGTTTGGGCTCAAATGTACAATCTCCACCAAAGCCCCACCAGATTTCTGTTGGTTTGAAAACGTTGAATCTTTTGAATACATCATGATTGTCCATGTTCTACAGTACAAGTCTGGGCTCGAGTCATGACTGAAAATGCTTCATATCATGAGTCAATGTTGAACAGATTAAACTAGAAAAACCCTCATAGTTCAAAGACCTGTGCCAAGAGGTGTAGTTCTATTTCTAATAAATTCCTGGATCCAGACAGTGTTCCAGGTCATATTGACTGAAGCACAATAATAGTGTGCAATAAATTTACAATAATAAAAGTAAATTAAAAGAAGGTCAAAACAGGTGAGTCTTCAGTTTACTTGGCAGAGCGTTCCATTTGCGACAGTATTTCGAGGTGATGAATTTACACATTGTAAATATATTTGTAAATATATTGACACAAAAATACTCTTTGTCTGCTTGCCTTGTATGTCCAACGTACCTCCAGTAAGTGCAGTCAGCGAAACAACACAATGTAAACACAATAGTGCTCCATAAACAAAGTAATGAAAATATTGTAATAAAAACCAGAGTTTCTACTCAAATTAAAATATCAATCAATTAGTTTTATACAAGGAACAGCAAGAAGTTTGAGTTCCATAAGACAAATCAACAGAAATAAGTCCTGGTTGTTATTTGGTGCGAGCTGCGGCAGGATGGGGGCCCGCCACAAGTCAAGCAATTATTTCAGGATGAGGTCATTGTTTGGCTCCATCGCTTCACGCCTTTGGCCCAGAGAGACTCAGCCAAGCAGCACAACTGACTCTGTTATCTCATCACTGCCTGGCCGCATACAAACAGATCTGACTGCGGTTCAAACACGAGGACATTTTGACTCGTATTTGGCATCGTCGTCAACAAATGTATTGACAGTGAGGATCGGAGTAATAGGCTGTTTGGAGTCAACAATATCCGTTTGAGATTTGCTGGTTAAGTGAAACGTACAGCATGATGAAGTAGTCCAAATGTCTCTGTCTCAGCTGGCTTTCAAGGGCCATGACCTAGTGTTATATTTAGAGAAAAAAAACAGCCTTATTTGAGAGTGTTCTTGAGAAGGCCAGGGCTTTTGATACCAGGGGACATAGTTTTACAGCGATTTGCCTGGCTGCTTAGTCCGAAGAAAAAGTGTTATTCTAGTGTTACATAGCCGTTAGCCGAAGTGGAAGTGAGCTTTCCAGGTAATGGACATTTAAAGGCCCCTAATGTTTTACACCAGTGGAGTAGAGCCCACTTGAACCAGAAAGGCCTCAGAGAGAACTGTTCTTTCTCGAAAATAGCGAATCATACGGAATTCTGAATTTGAGATGAGGCTGAGCAAACATATTGAAATTGTTTTGTAATCAGATAAAGATTTTCAGCTTTGAGCCTTCTTCTCTGCCTCTGGTGCCAGTTTAAAGAGTTAATTAAGCCTGAATCATCAGCCTTTTATTTTGATGATTTTATTGTTTAGTTATTACTTACTGTCTACAAAGAATGAGTTCATTAAATTACATGTTCTTCATAAGATCAGAGCAAGAGAGCATTATTTGACGTGCCAACACAAATATGTGCATATGCAGCTCATTCAAACTGGAAGACTGCACACTCATGGCTGCATTTAAACATAGCCTCTCAGTCTCTGCATCAAGCTCCTGTCTGTGCCACAAACCACCTCCTCCTCTTCACCACATCATCAGTGGAGGAATCATCATGTTTTCTACTCCGTTTCCACCACCTTCTCAGCCACTCTTCCTGGGGTTCTGAATCCCCTCCTGCAATTCCCCTTCTGCTGGGGTCCAAACTTTTTCAAACATTAATGTTCCAAAAGCAATACATCAGTACCACATCAGGCATCTGTCGGGTCTAATTTCCTTTTCATGCTTCTACGATATATTCATGCAAAGATATTAAATGAACATAATTCTAATGCATCGTTGTTGGCAGTCTTACCAGATTGAATTTCAGTGCTCTTCCAGTTGGATAACCCAAAATGCAGCTCCAATAAAAGCTGCTTTTGCATCATATCTGCACAAGGACATATCAAATGTATCTCAACTTCATGCAAAAGTTTCTCTTGTCTGCAACCAAAAGGATCTTAATTATAGTTCACAGATTAGCACAGTCTGTTGGCATCGCAGGCTACAGTGACTGACTCTGATGAGACCATGGAGACCGCAGAAGGGCACTCATCAACAGCTGCATACATTAGCAGTATTCTTTGTGGCTGCACTAAGCTTTTACTGTAAATTTGGATAAACAGGCCATTGTTGTGGAGAGCGCACAGGAAGAAACAAGGGAATCATAGACTTCCTGCATGAGGTCACTTTATGCCATGGGAGCCAATGCCAGAAGATAGGGGCAGGCCTGTTTTGTCAAGCTCTTTTCCTTCTGCTTGAACCCAGAAATACCTCCGTGCCCCAGGGCCTTGTAAACTTAATGACTGTACTCCCTCTGAAGAAGTGACATCACTGCTTCAATCTGCAGGAAAAATGTTGTTTACAGCCTGTGTCACTATTTTTGGCAGTTATTGATTTGCAATTGAGAACAGTTTTGATTTTGGAATTTGGGAATAGTGTATTTGGGGCATGTTTAAAACGCATTCACATTCAACAGTGTGTGTCCAGCGCGGTTTCATTGCTTTTAAATGAGGTCATCTTGGAAGAAAGGGAAAGTCTAATTGTATGTACTCTCAATAGGGCGTATTCAGGATTCCTCGGGACATAGTCAACAAATAAAAAACAATGTATTTATAACATTTGGGTTTTCCTTCTTGATCCAGGGCAATGACTTCATGCATAGGTCAGAAAACGCAGACAAAACATTTTTTTTAAGGAGAGTTGGCCGGTACATTTTGTCACAACAGATCTCTTTTTAAGTCCCATTTTGTGACCGTAACATGTATTATGTTATTGAAAATATGTTATCAGTCACATTCTGAGAGATGATTGGTTGAGTAAGGGCTTACACTCTTTTTATCATTGAAAAAGCTGATATAAAATGGAGTTTTAAAGTTACACCCTCCAGTTTTAGCAGAGACAAATGCAATCTATTTTCCCTCATCCTTATTTTGTCCATGGTTTGAATGATTTGTGACTACAGCATCAGACGGCACAATGTCATCCCGATCTTTTATTTAATCTCAACTTGTAACAATTGTAGCATGCTAAAATTCACTCTTTTTTGCAAACTACAGGCAGAAGCTTGGATCAGGGGAAAGCTCCAGGACCTGAAGGATGGCCGTAATATCAATCCCTGCACCCTCAAAGACTGGGATGAGGCCTGCCAGACTCTGCAGAGGGACCTCAAAGACTTTGAAAACACCTTGATTCAACTCAACCAGGTAATAATGCATTGGTTTCTACATATATCTCTCGGGATTAGTCAGTATAGTCCTCCAAATGGCGCCTAGGAAACTGAGACAAATGTGCAATACGTGACGACCGCAATGACTTCATCCACGATAGTCAAAGTACCCGCTCTTTTGCAAATTCAGTTGACGTTTTCGCTCCTACAGAATTCTACATGTAAACATCATTTTCCTAAACAGATGGGTGAACAGTTGATCTGCAAGATGAATCCCACTGCAGACTCGGTCAAGAAGCGACTGAGCCATCTGCGGGATTTGTGGCAGACGCTGAAGCAGACGGCTGCCAATCAAACAAAGACTTTGTGCGGAGCCAAGAGTCTGCAAGAGTTCAACGCAAAAGTGGAAAAACTGGAGGCGTGGATCAAAGAGAAGGTTAGTGCTTTCGACAATACACTGCACCGAGTATATGATGTAAGCTGAAGTGATCAGTGTGGGATGTGGAGACCGTATTTATCTATTTATTTGAGCCATTGCTAACACGTGTGCAATGATGGGATGTGTGATGGGAAGTGAAATTACTTCTGTATTTATAGATTGTCCTCCACATTTTATCATCAGGGAAAACTTATTTAAAGGGCACGAGACAAGATTTGTTCAAGTTGAATCGGGAGACAGGAAGTTGATGTTTTTTCAGTTATTGATAAATAGAAGGAGGCTGGTACAGGTATATACTGTAGAGCCAATATTTATTTGCAGTATAAGTGAAAATATTGGTGTAAAAGTTCCAAATTGTGTTAAACGTGGAGTTTTTTTGTTTTTTTAAACAAAACTAAACCAAACTGCAGACACTGCTTAGTTTTGGCATACAATGTGTTTCCAACGGGAATGCTTAAGTTGTATCATCATTTCTTCAACCAGGAGGCTGGATTTGACTAATAATTTGACTGGTATAGACATTTGGGGGTGGGGTTACCCGTTATATTGATCTCTTGAATTGAAAAAAAAAAACTATCTAGTAAGATTGATGGATTGAGTTCACAAGCTCATGTAAAGAACTTGACCTAAGAGTTCTGTAGTCTTTGTCTGAAACACGGCGTGACAATTTATAACTAATGACAGAAAGAAATGGCTTTAAAGGCACATGTGTTCACTCAAGTTGTCAGTGTTTGCTTGCTGACCCCAGTGCTTGAGTTGAAGCAGTTTAAGTTAATCCTTTTTTCTATGTGGCACAAAGGCAGCAATGGCCACATAGAAATAACAGCCACATAAATAATGGCTGGTTTCCTTGTAAATCGTCGCCCTGAGCAGCTGTGTGTCTCGGCAGGAAGAGCCCACGTCCCTGGCCAATATCCTCGGAGAGAGTGTGGACAAGATGCAGCTGACCAGGCGGATTTTAGATCTGAAACAGGTAAGTGCTGTTATAGGCCACTTCTGATTACAACTATTAATATACTTAACAAAATCCATATGTGCGTAGTATATCTTTCACATTATCTGGAGATTTTCCCAAATAATTATATACAGTCTGCTATCACCCGGACTAATTCATCTTCCAAAGTTAGCTGACATCATACTTGGACTGTTGCGGTTTCCGTTTAGGATGAGCAGCTCTACAGACATCTATATGAGGAGATCAACCACTTGGCCTTCAAACTGGAGAAGCAAGGCAAAGCAGATGGGAAAAACGTCAGCAACCAGAGGAAACACGTCAATAAAATGTACACATGGTCGTTTGAGATGAGCTGGTATGATGCATGAGACACCGAGAAGTCAAGAACCCTCACAGTTATCCCAATATACGATCTTGTGTGCGTTTAGGTGGCTCCGAGTTCAAGCTCAACTGAAAAACTATCATGAGAATCTTCAGCTGGCTCTGGAGGTGTCGTCCTTCTATCAACAAGCCGATACTATCTTGTTGGCCATTCACAACATGGTAAATATACTTGGAACCAGAGATGGGAGATTTTTTTAGCCTTCAATGTATACTGTTTTCTTTGTGATAGAGAAAAGATGCATCTAAAGAGTTGGACAAGCTTGGAGACCAGGAGGTGCAAGATATCGCAGGTCAAATTATGGTACGTAATGTTTGCAGTGATTCGTGTATGTGTTTGAGTAATGTTTAAATTACATTCACACACATTATTATTAACTTATAGATGATGCAGGCTTAGAACATTATTTTAATAAGATAAGAAAAGACATGTTTCGGCCTTAGTCAGAGGTGAGACACGTTTTTGTCTTATCAAAAGAACCTTCTAAGCCACATAAGAAGAGAAAATCAACTGTTTAAAGGTGATGCAGATAAATTGTGATTGTTATGACATTGTCCCCGGCTTCATTGTTGTCTCAATGGTCCAACAGGATGACGTTTACTTTTTCTTCCTGATGTTGGTAGGCAAAATCTTAAATGTTCTCATCTCATAATATTTTTGTCTTGTGCAGATGTTGGATGTGAGTGCGTCTCGCCTCTCTAACCTGCATCCAACGCTCACGACCGGTGTCCTTCAGAAACAAAGTGAACTGAAAGAGTCGTGGGCACTTCTGCAGAATACTCTCAGGTAAGACTGAACATGAGGAGTTTAGTTTAGTTGTTTCTTTCTTTGAACTTTTTCCCAAGAAGCCTGTGTTTGGTTCTGTGCCATGGTCGTTCCAGGTCAAGTGCGACAAAACTTGAGATATCTTGTACTGCCAAAGCGCTCACGTCAAACATCTATTTTTAGGCACATCAATTTGACATCATCTGGTTTGTTTCAACAGCTGTGTTTTTTTAAACTATTTCAGGCCAATAATACAAACAGAGATCAGACCATAATAGGAGTTTATAGAGAAGTCTAAAACACGGCTGTCAGCACCGCGCTAACCTCCTCTGTACATGTCTGCACTGCCTTCACCAGCCCCACTGCCCCCAGAGACGAGGGAGACCCTTCAACCAGGGAGCAGTGCACCGTGGGAACTGAGCTGCAAAGGACCATGGGAAAGGAGGTGAAGGAGGAGCAGAATCGGCTAAAGGGTTTTGTGGTAAGTAGTTTTGGTGTATATTTCTATTACTGGAGTAACCACAGAGTGTGAGACAACAGAGACGTCAGAAAGATGAGCTCAGTTGGGTGAGTGAGTCAGGCCTCATTCACACGGCTTTCATTTTTAAAGGGTTGAAGGAGGCCTCATTTCAATGGTCTCCAAGTTTACGTTAACATACGTGACCAATTTCTTCAATAACACCTTTTTAAGTGCCCCAGATGGCATACTTAAATGCTGCTCATTATTCTGTGTTTTACTCTGTCAGTTCTTTAAACAAGGATCTTGAATCTAAAATATTTCAAATCATGCACCATAGGAGTCGCAGGAAGAGCTTTTCAAGGTGTTATTTTCCCTGGCAGAAAATTTGTCGATTTCCCTGAAGATTTTACAACCATGACTGTTCAGTGTGGTTCAGTTGTTGGCCAGAGCAAATATGTCTTTCCTGTCAATCCAAAATGTACTATATTAAAATCATTTGCTTTAATGGCTGTAATAATATCATGGATTATAGTCGGTCAAACAAAAAGCACAGTCAGTGGATTAATATAATATCAACAGTTACCGTCTGGTTCAACTCAAGGTAAGGTCATAATGCTCAGGATATGAACTCTTTACAGGTAAAAGTGACCATGTTTGTGGGAATATTTGCACAAAGAAGCAGTATTTTAAAGCATCATTTAAAAAGGGTCCTGTTTATCGTTCACTTCAAAGCCACACTTTGTCATTTATTGGACTTTCTTTGCTTTCTGGCTTTGGCTTTACCCTGGTCATATTATTTATACTGTATATGTGGCATCTACTCACTCTCAGGAAGCACAGATTATTTAATTTGGTAGTATCACCTTTTGTCTCCATGGGAATGAAAGGTTTTATATGTTTATACGTTCACACATTCACTTGATTCTTACTGTATATTGTGTATTTTAATTGTTCTCACTTAGTGTAAGATATAATGATTTAGACTGGAAGAAAGTATGAAGGGTAAAAAAATACTTTCCACCTGTAACTCCCTATGCTACCACCAGAGGGATGAGTTGGGTTTTGTCATAAATTTAAACATTACTGGTTGCGAGAGCCAAAACAAATTTATGGGTAATACTTTTGTTTTAAATCTGCTGAGTGTGATGTCACAGGACACAAACCGTAGCTTTTAGTCGGAAAGGGCAAAGTTGCAAAAATTGTTTGTGCCAGAAGTTCCTTATATTTAATGTTTATGTACATTTTAATGTTTGTGATTTATGTGGGCTGTGAGGCGCTTTGGTTTGCCTTGTGTAGGAAAGGTGCTCTACAAATAAAAGTTGATTGACTGATAGATCAAATCAGACCTGTTTTTGACAAGAAACAATGTTGTAACATGGTTAAATTCTCCAAAAAGTCGTTTGTGCATAACATTTCTCCTTTTAATCCCTCGCTACGACATTTTCAATAAAACCACAGCCACTAAAGACCAAGTAATTGTTAAGTCAAAGAGTGCAAAGTGACTTGTCATTTCTGATCCCTGAATATGAGCTTCCAGATGCGGTGCTCGGGTCGCTTGGCTGACATTAGCGTGTGCATGTGTTTGTAGACCTAGCCCTCTAGTCTCTGGCACAGTGAAAACACAAGCCTCTTAGTGACATCGTGTATCCATTAATACTCGATGACTTCTCCATATGTGGCCCTGGTTCTGCGGACTCCATCTTGGTATGGCCTCTTCGGTGGACGCAGACATGGCGAGCGTCTGTTTCTGTGGCTAATTGTGGCCAGATGTGAGAGCTGCCATCCAGATGCTGTAGGTGCAAAGTGATAGTTCATGGCTGACATCACTTAATAGCACACTGCAGAAAGTCCCACCGAGAAAGTAAAGAAAAGTAAGAGTAAATCAGAATGAACAGTTTTCAGGGCTTGAAATATAATCGCAGAATAGAACTCCCACAAATGCATCAAGTTTGACACATAACGTATTAAGTGTGTTTTATATACCCAACTGTACTTCCTTGTCTATCTTATAGTCACACACGGGCCTATTATCTTTTATTTAAAGGAACGGCATGCAATACGCTATGTTCTCTGTGTCCCCAGATAACAGGTCAGCATGTACAAATCATATTTGACCTTTTCTGAATAAAAGATTAAACAGTTCTTTCTTATCAAAAGTACAATTTACATGATCTTGGTGTTTACGGTTTTCAAGCAGATTATCCAATCAGGGAGCAGAAAAAGGCTCTCATTTGGGTTGCCAGTTTGTTCGATAAAATGTAGCTGATTTTGGCTCTGATTTTTGGCTATGTTTTTTTTTCTTCAATGCCTCAGTTCACTACAAAAACATAGCATTTTACAGTGTTTCAAAGGAAGCAGATACAAAAATAAGTCATATGTAATACACCCCAGCAGGTGGATTGCAGCAGTAATCAGTGCTTAGGTGCTACATGTGTCAGAGGCAGGAAGATTTTGGCAATAAAAGTGTCATAGTGATTATAATGACTTTATTAGACCAGTGAGAGAGCATATTACACACACACAGTCCCTTTAAATTGGCACTTTGTGATTTTTCAAGTGTGCAATTACCTAAGATATGTGATTGTTTTGCCAAAAATGTTTCATATTATTACATTTTTGTATATAATATATTTATAACAACGCATCTGTTCATTTAAGGGTGCAACTATTTCTTAACTTGGCTCGTGGCATCTCATCCACCAGTCGTCAGACCCTCTGCAATTTTCTATAGTAATAATTTTACAGCCTTAAATATCCTCAAATATATATTTTACCAGTTTTGTGCCTTTTTTTTTTTGCTGTAAATGTTTATGTTTTTTAGCTCTATAGTTAGAAAGGGCTGGCACAGAAATATCCAAAAATAGGTACCCGGTAAATGCTATAGTTTCCTAATGAATAGCTCCAGTCATAGCCGTATAATGTAGCAGCCATTAGCCTGCATTTACAAAGCGAGAAGAATTGATTTAGTGATTTCTGTCTTCATGATTTCTTACAGGCATTACAGCTGTCAATTTAATATCTTGAGCAGAGCCTGGCTTATTTCTCCAAGAATAACCAACCTTTGTGTATTAGTAAGCTTGTGTCATTTGTCGAGGAAACGTTATACTTGTCTGGGCATCTGTCCACGAAGTCCACCCTCTGGCCACAATGCAACATTCACTTTAACAGGGCTGGGAGGCCTTTTTGTCATATGACCGCTGAGTATGAAATTACAAATTAATCCACCCTGTCATCGTTGTCAAAAACATTACTTACTTGTCATGTGGATAATATCTTTGGAGTTTCCCTCAAAAATACCCTTTTGTGTTCAGAGCGCTGCGGATTGCACTGGTCAAGCTCAGGAGCAAGATTCAGCTTTCCTTTCGTCACCCATGGGAGAGGCGGCTGTCTGTGCCAATGATGTCATCGCCAGACTGCAGCTGAAGGGGGAAAGGTGACATTTGGGCCCGGGACGCTCTCTCTCTGTTACTTACATAATGAGGAGTCTTTATGTAAGTCCTAATTGGAGTCACATGGACGTGTTTTCTTTGCAGCAGGAAGCTCAAAACTGAGCCCAAGAATGACACCGCCCAGCCAGGCCACCCACCGCTCCCCGTCCAGCTCCAGAAGTTCACTGTGTCTGCAGACAAGGTGACCAGAGGACTCCCATAATAAACCAGGATGAAGCACTTCATCATTGTTCAGAAAGGATTTTAGGGCTGGGTAATTGTTTTTGGCGCCAATATCTGACAAGAATGAATTTGGCAATTGAAATAATCCTTTCTGTATTTTCACAAGAGTATTAACATGTGATTCAAAAATAAGTCAATGTTAAACTGTTCATTTAAAAAACACAAGTCACTAAAGAACAGTGGCAGTTGCTTGTACTCTTCACAGTGAAAAATGGGGAATGACGACTCGAATGCCGGAGACTTAGAGATTTGTCAAATATGCAATAATCCTTCTTTTTTTTTTACTGCTAAATAAGGAGGAAAATAAAATTGCAATATATATTTTTAGAAACAGTTGCTTTTTAACACACAGGATTTTTATCACCTTAAAATAATAAAAATATCTTGGTTCTGTCAAACATTTTTCTACCAAAAAGTACTAAAGAGTGTGCAATCTTTAATATTTGTCTAATTAGGGGAAGCAGTATTATTCCACATTAATTTTCTGGTCAGCATGACATTAGGTAATACAACAAGTTACAGACGTTGTGTCACATTTAAAATCAAACTGAAAAAGTCACGTCTTTCAGTCTAAGTGCATTCTGAGTGTGCTACTTTCACGGTAATTGTCCAGTAACGATGGAAAACATTAAATTTGTGTCCCTCGTTGCCATAGCACACAATTGCCAGCTCAATGAGCGTCTTCTCCTCAGCTGATTCTTAATGTGTTTTGCTTGTGTGGTTTGTATCTCTGTCCTAGACTCTGTCCTGGCTCAAAGACAACGTGTCCTTGGCCACTCAGATCTGCTCCATGGCCAGTGGGGAGGGCCTGGAAGCTGCCCGTAAGTGCCAACATGCTCTGGAGCAGGAGATACTCAACAACAGGACAAGGATCGAGGTCGTGAAGAGGGTAAGTTGAGAATGTACTGTATATGTTGCATTTCAGCATAAGGGTCATACTGTATGTAGACAACAGCAGACATCATTCTGATCCACTCTACACAGAAGAGCAAAATTCAGAACGACTTTAAAAATCAGTGTGTATCTCTGCGTATATATTGGTGCTGGGAGCGACGTTTTGGAATGACTTAACAGATTATTTAAAAACATGTTAAAGTATAATTCATATCATTTCAAATTATGGTCACACTTGCATGCGAAAGCGAGATCCCATCAAACCTCTGAAGCTGTGCAAGGTAGGGCCTGGTCAGTACTGTGATGGGAAACCTATAGGAACACCAATGGGCCGGCTCATTCACGATAATAGAGCAGCTTTTTTGGACACATAACAGATCCATGCAACTCGGGGTCATCGTGGTTGTTATACAGTATATACTCCCTACACCGGAAGGAAAAAACTTGGATAGAGGAGACCAGATAATAAACTGGCCAAGGCTAAACTGAGCAACACTTTACTTGAATGAACAATATCATGGTTTCCTGAGTCCTTGTCCCTGGGTCAGGTGGAGAACAAGCTCTGTTAATTCATTCCAAAACGTATTTCAAAGCACTGAGATACACATTGATTTTAAAGTCGTTCTGATTATGTTTTCCTTAATCTGTGTGTAGTGGATCCAGAACTCTAGCCTCCTGCCTCTTCAGCATTTTATTAAACACAAATCAAAAACACAATGCAGATCAATATGCAACAATTTCATACTAAAATAGAGCAGCATAAAAGTGTTGGGCTTAAAACGTGAATTCTAATGGGGGTTCATCACAAGTACTCCCAGGGCAGTCAATTTGACGGCTTATAGTTTGTCATCACTTTCTCTCATCACACTCATTTCTCCTCAGGAAGGCCGTGGGCTGGTCCGAGCGCAGCACCCGGGCAGCTCCAGGATCCAGGAGTTCTTGTGTCAGCTTGAAGTGTTGTGGGACGAGCTGCGGAGGAGGCACCAGAGAAACGCACTATTCCTGCAGGCTTCTGAGGAGCTGGGATTCAGGGTAACGCTCGTAAAACCTCCAGAACAAGTTCTCCTCTGAAGTCCAACCATAATAGTTCTCCAACTCTGAGAATGATTACTTACTGTATGACGGATGACTCTAAATCAGTTTTCCCAGTATAGCAGTCTTTATACTGGACAGAGGCCGGAGCTGGGCGGCACGGTGGCGGAGTGGATAGCACTCTCGCCTCTCAGCAAGAAGGTCCTGGGTTCGAATCCCGGCCGGACCAGGGCCTTTCTGAGTGGAGTTTGCATGTTCTCCCCGTGTCTGCGTAGGTTTCCTCCGGGTACTCCGGTTTCCCCTACCACTAAAAATATGTACAATAGGTCTAGCATGCGCCTCCTGTTCGGCGACCCCGCTCCATCTCTGTGTGGAGTGAGAGGACAAGTGCCCAAAAAATAATAACAATTGTAAACCGCTTTGTGACCCTTGTCTGTGAAAGGCGGTATATAAATAAACATTACTTACTTACTTACTTACTGTGCATGCAAACTGACAGATAGCTCTAATGTGTGCCTCCCTAAACGTACTTATACAAACAAACCCAAGCTGGTAATCTAATTTATAGTAATATAATACAAGACATGGAAATAGAGCTGCTACTTAAATCTGGAGAATCTAACTTTTTTGGTTTTACAAATAAATGAAACAAAGAAATCAGACCACAACACTATCTTATTAGAAAACATTTCATTCACTGAAAGAGCAGAGATGTTAAAAACATGGTTATTTTTGTTGTTTCAAGGTTAGGCACTCCAGCTTTAAACACCCCATCTTTGGGTTTGAAAATCTGAGAAAACATGTTTTACCATTTAGAAAAGACTGGAGCTTCATTATATAAACCATAAGACTGTTATGTCAGCTCATCATATTTGAGCAGTTGTGACATTATCAGCCCCATCAGTGTCGTCACGACTGCTCTGTGGCCCTCATGTTTTCATGCAGGTTGTGAAAGTGCTCCAGGCTCTGGGCAGTCTGGACGCTTGGCTGGAGTCTGTGGAGCTTTCCATGAAGGAGTCCTCGTTGGCCGCTGACCCTGAAACTATGAGTGCGGCTGAACGACAGAGCTGCCTCCTGGAGAGAGAGGTGACGGCAAGGGGCCTCGAACTGAGCGCGCTCAGACAGGAGGTGGAGCGGCTGCACTGCCACACTCACCCTCTCACACGAGAGCTGCCCACGCGTATGCACGCCGTGGAGAGAAAGTGAGTACACAGAGGAGGCCGAGGTCAGAGGACTGCCTTCTGGCCTCGTGGAAAACCAGTGTTTTGAATGTGAACTATCCGCTCCACGCTGGTGGTGCCTTAAACTGTGCTCAGGAAACAGAGGCTCAATGTTTCCAGGCCTCTGCTGCACTACAACATGGAAGAGTTTATTCATAAAATCCACTCCTTACTGAAGACAAACATTTTCACCCCATAAACCGCTAGAAATATATTCATATTTATATTAAGTTTTATTAAAAGGCCAGAAGTGAAGTCTATCATTTATAATGCAAAAGGCACTCGGAGAGGTCTGCCCCACAGTCTGTCAGCGCGTGTCAAACTCGCCTGCTGCAACTTTTCTAATGACTTCTCCCTCATCGGCCGGAGATGCTGGTGCCATATACTTTTGGTAAATCCTTATGAATCAGGCTGAAATACGGGACCTTCCAGCATCCATAAATACACGTTAAAGTTCTGACCAAACTAAACAAAGGAAGAAAGTACTCAGTATAAGTGTTTCCAGAGGTGGAGTGTATGGGATAAAGAGGCTCTGACGTCATTACTTATTGCCACAACATCTATTCAAGCATCATTTATTATGGAAAGAATACGTTTTTATATTGCTCCCTTAACTATCATAAATTCAAACTCTCCACAGCCCATCCCGTCCCAAAGTACAGGTTTTGTTTATAAGACACATGATGTATGATTACACAGATGGAGCTTGAGCATGGTCAAACACACTCTTGAGGTCTCCATAAAGTGGCTGTGTTGAAGGATGTATGAGCAGAATGTGGATAATAGTTGGACTACTTAAATAAACATTTCAATAACAGTGTTTATGTTTGAAAGGTACCAGCGCGTCCAAAGTGCCCTGACGCAGCAGAGTTCAGAGCTGCAGGACACACGGATGCTGGCAGAGTTTCTGGAGCAGGTCGAACTCGAGGAGAGTCAGTTCAACCCAGGACAGGTGAGTTTCATCTACAGCGTACATGGTTTTTAGTAATCAGGCTATGTTTTAATTATAAGAAACAACAGCTAAAGGAGAAGTTGTGAGTAAAGCTTTGAGGAGACACACATTGTGCCCTCTCCACTGTTTTCTCTATGTCAGAAAATATAGACATAGATAACTTTTACTGGAAGTGATTTCAAAATGTACCTGTCCAGTAGAAACTTTGCGTCTGAAGCATCAGTGAGAAGCCTCATCCTGGGCTTTCAGAGCACGCCATTGTGTGAAAAAATCTCCCAAAAACACCCTGACCCTGGTCTAGCCTGGTCTTCTGAACCCGTTCTCATCTATTCAAACACTTCCAAGACCCTATTTCTCTTGCGACCCTCTGCCATTTTTAAAGTACCCAGTGAGAACTCCAAGCTTGCTGAAGGCTAAGCTCACCTTATACACCTGAAAGGGCGCATGCTTGCTCAGAAAGTGAAGATGAGTATGTTCTACGGCTATACGTCACATAGCATCAGAATGATTGACAATTAGGAGGACCATTTGTCTTCATGATCCACCCGAAACAAGAATATCCTCCATATATACTTTTAAATGTATTTCCATCTCATGCATTGCAGCCACTTCACAGTGAAATGTCCCCAGCTCCGACTCTCCTGGAGCTCCGGGGCCGCTGTGAGTCCCTGCTAGGGCCCCTGGGAGACCCTACGGAGGAGTTGCGGGAGGCGGTGGAGATGCTCAATGACACCGTGAGGGAGAGAGGGCGCTCACTAAACCACGATTCCGCCGTGCGTGAGCTGCTGAGCAAGGTACCATCACTCACATGTACCAACTGTGTGTCTTCTCTTAGATTTCATTCATAGTTTGAAATTTTAGATTTTTACTAATTTAATCACATACTTCTGGTAAAGCTGACAAAAAATGATGTCAGTCAGCGGGAGGCAGAATTAAGTAGGTTAATAAACTCTTTTCTATGTGATTTCATGGTTCGTGGTAATTTAGCACAGACCATTGACGTAGAGACACATCTGGTTCAGTCCTTTTGTCTTTTTATGTTGATGTCAATGTGAAATTATCCTCATTAACATGTGTTTGAAGAAGGCACGTGGCACTAAGCAGTTGTTTGCTATATGCCTCTCATTTAGGAACAAATTATACGCTGTGATAGAGGTGGGTGATTTTCTGCACAACATGACATCGAAGGTGTTTGTTTCCAAAAGAGAATGAATAGAATTAAACATCATAGCTGAGGGATTGTAAGGTTTTTTTAAATACATTTTTAAAATGTTTTATTCAATGTTTACTCTCTTTAACTCTCTTTACTCTCTCTTTAAATATGAAGACAATATTTTCTGTGGAAGTGAAGGCAAGGACACGCTGTTACTGCCTCATGATTAAAGTCTTTCAATTGATAGTGGGAAAGCCAGACCCGGACAGACCTCTGAAGCTAAGCAAGCCTGCCCTGGTCAGTACTGTGATGGGAGATCTCTGGGAACACCAAGTGCCACAGTGGGACGGCTGTCAAGCTGTTGTAGTGTCCTTAGGCCAGACACCCACAAAGCCTTGAAAGTTTCTGGTGTGTGTTTGAATGGTTGTTGTTGGTCAGAGGGGACAATAGCACATTCTGCGTTCCTCACTGCTGTCAGTCTGTGAATAAATAAAGTGTCTTTGAGTGGCTAAATAATGTCATATAAAACGCATGTATTATTATTATCATTAATTCAAGTGTCGCAATCTACAAAATATGTTATTGCAATCTCACCTAATACACGTCACTCAATACTATCAATACACATCTCTATCGACCACAACATACAAGTGATGTCTAAAAATGAAAACCGGTTTTCGTGGTGCATGGGTCTGTTCCAGCATGCGAGCCTGGCTGTGCGTGTGGAGGAGAGCCTGTCCCGCAGTAAGGACCTTAGCCTGGACATCCTGGAGAAGCAGACCGACATGGCGGTGCAGTGTGAGCCAGAGCACTGTGGTCTGGACGCTCTGTGGGAGGAGCAGGACCACCTGGAGGTGAGAGCCGTGCTGTCGTTACAGGCTAAACATTTAACACGGCCCACTGGTGCTAATGGAGCTACACTCGCAGAGACTGCAGAAAGCAAAGGGAAAATTACACCAGAGTGACGTGATCGCACAGTTCGCTACAATTGGAGAAACAGCTGTCAAACTACGTCCAAACAAGTTCATGTTTCACTAATTGAGTTTTATTAGTCAGCATGGCCCACTTTTCCCTATATTGATGATAATATTCTGTTTTATGTCTAAAGCTATGCACAATTTGGGTCTGAAGCTTGAGTTGCATCCAAAATGGCAAAACTTCAAACTGGCCTTTACTTTTGGAAGCGTAATGACTCATCTTTTGTAAATGTTTGGTCTTCCTAACGTTGTGACTTTCGCAGTATTGATTTGCAGTTTATTTCTAGGTCATTTTTTTAGTGTATCTTTTAATTTTGTTCTACCGTTAACTACATATTCAAATGTGCACATTCTTGGTCACTTGTCAACCAACATTCTCTGGTAGTTCAAGGCCCTGTTCTCCAAGGTACTTGTCGTGGACTGCTTCTGGGTCTGAGCTGAGTGATCTTGGCTTTCCACCAGAAAAGATCAAGTCAAGAGTCAAGAGTTTCCATGGCAACACACTGTTTACTTGCAGCAGTTAGCATAACGTTAGCCTTTCAACAAACTGTCGCTAGTGCCATTTTTCGCACGTATTAAGATAAACCTTTATTAGTCTCACAGTGGAGAAAAGAAAGTGAGCAAAGATAAAAAATTACATATATATTTTTTTTTATAAAGACTTTTTTAGAATTCCAATGGTTTTAATGGGAGCTGTCAAAACTGTACTGGGAGTTTGCATAATTTTAGAATTCTAGGAGTCCTATGATGAAACCGCTATTATTAGGGTCATAAATACAGAAAACATGTTATATTGCCTCAAGTCATTTCTGCTGTAGTTGCAGTTAGCAAGTCTCAGTTTTACTTCCTCACTTATTTTGCTGCAGCACACGGCACACTACTGCTCGCCTCCCACGGTGGAACAACAATTTGCTCGATTTTCTTTCAGGATCCGCCAATTCTTTGCACTGTTTAATGGATTACATAAACTGGACTGTAAAATCACACGCAAACACATGTCAGACGTTTATTCCACACAAGATGTTTATTTACACTGGTATCCGTCACTGCTCTGTTAGTCTCTGCGAGCGGTTTGTTTGCACTTGAGGATTAATCTTTTGGCCTGGACTGGAACATGGAGACATCAAGGGGGGTCGCAGGTTGGATGTTGTGGAAATAATGTTTGCGTGGGTCTTGTTTATCTCACACACACACACACATACACACACACACAGCTGTCTGGACCGAAAGCACAAGACAAATGAGCTAATCGCAAACTGAAATAACTATGGAGTCAGCAGATTGGCATCCACCACACTATGTTCTTGTAGCTGAGAAACATTATAAAGCATTGCTCCCAGAGAACCAATGCTATTAATTACAGCCTCGTCAAAACTTTGGGGAGAAAAAACAAGGTGGTTGCATGCTGGCTGTATAGTGCGGTAACCCATGTGCCTGCCATATGTAGCTGTGTATGCATAAAGTTATAAAGATGAGGTCATAAGCTCTAACACAATAGGTAAGGACTGCGTGACAGATCCCATAAATAACCATGAGGGGGACTACAGTTTTTGATCTGAGATTCTCCGCAGATCGACTATGAAGTCATCGGCGAGGAGGTGAAAGCGGTGGAGAGCCGGGCCACGCGTCTGGAGCAGCTGTGCCCAGAGAGAGTGCACGTTTTTGGGACTAAGATCCAGGCGACACTGGGGGCCTGGGCGGAGTTGGGGGCCAGTGTGAAGGAGAACAAATCTAGGCTGCGAGAGTTTGAGCGGCTACAAGACTTCTTCAGGAGCTATCTGCAGATGATGTAAGCGGGCCGGGGGGGGGGGATGAGACAACCTCTGCCTTAGCTGTAATGGTCTTCTGAGAGCATTACGTTAGCGGGTTTGACTTAAAGAGGGCAGGATGTTCCTCTTGTCAAAGCACCTGTGTTAAATGAGATCTTTTATGGTGGATGGGTCAGCACCTTTTGGTCTACAGACTATAAAGCTATTGTTTTACGTGGGATGTTGGTGAGGTCAGTTCTACCTAGCATTGCATTCCTGTTACCAGAAAAGTTTATGAACCTTTTAAAGCTGGGGTATCTTATGTTAAAAAAAACCTCTGAAAATGTAGCTATATAAAAATACTGGTTTCTCTCTCTCAAAACAGTTTGGTTCTATTATCAATAGTTTTTACATGTATTTTGGTCACATCCTTTGATCTGTTTTTTTAGACAGAAAAGGGAATGAAACGAGGACCACCTTCCCTCAGACAATTGGCTCTCAGCCCAAAGCGTGGACTCACTGGGGTCTTTTAATCTAATTTGTTATACATGACATGTTTTCTAATAGGACAGCATGTAGTCTGATTCGTTTTTTGTTTTTTACCAGACCTATTCTGTTGGGACAAACAACATGTATTGCATTATCTATGAAGAAAAAAGTCAGGCATCTTAGCTTTAAGTGTGTTTAATAGAGGCATGTTGGTGAGTTTCTCGAGATCCTGGAATCAAGGAATCATGATGTTAGCTGAATTGTTCCCCTTTTTAGTATATTTCTGGATCAGGGGAGTTGGTAATCAGAGCAGTAATAATAGCAATAATTCCACCAGTCCCTCGCTAATCCAATCTCATTTATCTCTAGTGCATCAGATTCTTCTCAAAATTCTCAACATATACAAAACTTTGACTGGTATTTAATCACTTGAACCAGTCCAGTGTGCAGTTTTCTTCCGCAGTAATCTAACATGAACCCGCCTCTTAACACATCCTATATACACATCTTTTTATAACATCAAGAGTTGCTTTTATAACTTATCTCCAGTGCGGCTTACACATCCGACATGCCTATTTCCTGGCCCTGGGTTTGACAAGAGCAATCTTTTTACACACACAGCTCTGGTCATTGTCATACGCTGCAAATGTTTCACTTCTTAGACATGTTTTCTCTGTCTGTCTCCTGTTTTTGTAGCTCATGGACTGAAGACACACGCTCCTGCATATTCTCAGACACTGCTATGCATCTTGGGAAAGATGGAGAGCCGCCAATCGCTTTAGAGCTGGATTTGCAGATCGAGCAGAAGTTTGAGGAGTTTGAGGTGCTGGCAGCTACAGGGAGGAACATTTTAGACAAAGAGCATCACCTCTGTCAAATGGTGAGAGACATTCTACACGCTGGAGAAATGATTAATGAAACCTTTTGTAAATAGCTGGTTTTGATCTCGTCGAAAGGTGGGAGAGCGCATGGAGGAGCTGAGGAGTATGCTGGGCTGGATCTCAGTGCATTGGAGAGCCCAAAAACAACAGTGGCTTCAGAAACAGGAGGAACAGGATAACGTTTACTCCATCATGTGCTCATCCTTGGCGAAGGTAAAGGCCAGTTTTTCTGCATAAATGACTCAAAGGACCCGGGTTTCTTTCCCATGCCGAGTTTGCATGTTTTTGTATGATTTCTGTATGTTCTCCTACAATTGAAAATATGTGAATATACGTATGTGTTTGGCATTAAGGATGGGAGATACGGGGGGGAAATTCAGAATGCCATTGTGAACTTTTTGATAAATAAAGCTTTGGCAGTTTCTTGATGATTAGAGGATCTGCTAAATGTATTGCAGTTTTACTTATATTAAAGAAATTAAATATAAACTTTTAAAATAAACATATTTCCATCAGTATGTCTAAAATTTCAGACCTGGTTAACCCTGGTTAGATTTTGTTTTGCCTCCTTATATTTGCCTGTCAAAGAAAATTTAAAAATCGGCAAACCCATATTAGTCAATCTCTACTAAATATACAATATATAAAGTAAGGATTTCTTTGTTATGTTTTTGCAGCCTGAAGCACGTGAGCAGCAGGAGGACCAGTCTGTATATTCTCTGGTCCTTTCCAGTGACGACGAAAAGCAACATTCTTCAGCTTTGGAAAACTCTTTTGTTTCGTGTCCAAATAAGCCAACAGAGGAGGCATACCAGGTCATGAAGAGCGTCCCTCTGCCCAGCGCTGACCTGAAGTCCCCAGAGTCTCCCAAATCCTCAGTGTTCGTCCTCAAAGACAAGAGCAGCCCTGGTTTGGGGAACACCGTCAACCTCATCCTCAGCTTTGGAAACACAGGGAACAGCCAGGTGCAAGTGCTGGGGGAAGATGAGGAGACGTCTGAACCTCTACGCAGGGTGAGGATTATCATTTCTACCCAATTTTACTCATATATCATTGTTAATGTTTGATTTGGTATCATTTCTGCTCTGCACATGATTTCCTTTCTCAACTAAAAGCTGCTTATAGGTGCAAACTGTCAGGTTGTCTTTTGTACATGGTTAATGTTTCGTTATAATGTTTTCCTTTATCTACAGGTATGTTGCAGCAATAATATGAACATTTTACACAATACAAAGTTTACACACACATTTAATTTTTCTTCTAGCCATATTTTGTATATCATGACTGATAAACAACAACCTTTATTCACTCATCTTTACTGGTTCTGTGAAGAAGAAAAAAATTTCTATCATTACATTATAATGACAGAAACTACCCCGATAGAAGTCCCCATCACTCATAAATAACAGCTTGGAGTCCTTTGTGGGAGTTGTGGATGAGGTTGTCTATCTGCTTGTATAGCCGCCCATTTTTCTTGGCACAAAGCCTGAAGTTTCTGTAAATTCCTGGGCTGCCCTGCAAGAACCACACATTTGCAACCTCCCCAGATCGGCACACCATTATGTTTTTTATTTCAAAATAGGAACAAAAAAACGCATATATATATTCATAATCTCCAAAAATGGCCTAAAAAATGTATCTCAAGCTGTGAAACTTTCAAGCAGGACTGTACACAAGTACCGTCTTCTAATGAGGCCAACTGATTTTTTTGAGGAGCGATACCAATAATTAGTCAAATGGAGGCCGATACTTGATATATAATGATTTGCCACCACCGTTTGGTTGTGTGGTAAACTATTAGATGCTTGCGTTTAGTTGAGTTGTTTTTTATGTGTATCTGAGGTGATAGTGGATTGACCCCTATTCAACACACCCATCTAACAAACTATCAGCATTGTCTGTACCTATGCCGCATCTGTTGCCTATATCCTACAGGAAATGAAATGATAAACTTCAGTCCGAGTCAGATGTAACCATGTTCACTATGTTCTGCTGATATCTAACCTGACATATGCACTTTAAGCCTCCTTTTTCAGCCTTTATGTCCTACTTTTCCCTTATTTCTACCTGTAGCCCGCTGTGCCACAACCTCCTGCCCGCAAAACCTTTTGGAAGCGCTGCCAGGGTCTTTTGGAAAATACTTTGGGTAGTTTAAAGAGAAAGAAAAAGAAAAAAATTTATCGGCAGAGTGCAAACGAGGTAAATGGTGTAGTGTGTGAACTGGCGCTGCATGTATGAGTGGTCCAAGTGCATGCTGGGAGTGTTTTTTGTTAGCATGCTTTGCTAACTGCAGAACAAGGTAAGGACTTTGGTTATACTGCGATTAAACCCCAAAACTGTGACACGTACTAGACATATGTGCATATAAAACGTAATTATGTGGACTTCACTGAAACCATGGACTCGGCTGCAATGAAATATTATGTGATGGCTGTGAATGTTTTTCTTATATTTATTGTAAGAAAACAAAAAGCAAGACCCAAAATGTCTCTCTTTATTGCTGAATGAATAGAGAGACAAAAAAATCATAAAGTTCCTTATCTCACAGCGGAGATTTACCTGTCATGCTGGTTATCAACAATGTGTAATGTGGTGAAATTAAAAAAGGAACGCCAAAATGCAATAAAACGAAAAAGGCAGCATTAAAATCAGTGGATAGACAATGGACAAACAACACGTTGGGAAAAGCACAGGGCTTAAATACATAGGAAGACACATTATCGCATTAAGGCGGAGCAAACGATGAATGGAACAGAAAGAAGAACTCAAAAAGACAAGACAACAGAAGATCAGAACAAACACATGACATTATGTGTTGTTTAGTGTCTTAATACCTACACTTTCAAACTGGTCATTGATATCACAGAAAAAAAACCATGTCAAATTAGAGAGATAGATAGTTATAGATAGAATTAGAGAGTAGAAATAAGTTATATTTTAACTCAATAATGATCTAATTTACCTTTTTGAATCAAAAAATATATATATACTTCCTTCTTTCTTTTTTGGTGTCAGAAAGTGTCCCAGCTGCTTTGCTCGTGAGTGTTTGCACAGTTTGGGAAAGTGCCACTAAAACGCAGACAATAACACTTAGATTCATTATGGACAGTTTGGATTAGCCATTAGCACCATGTGTCTGGCCAGCTGCTGGAAGTCCAGTCTGGGCCTTGGTCTGGTCACTGCCGCTTTTTAATGTGCTGTTAACGGCATACAGGGAGAGACTACGGACAGAGAATGTACATTTAACCTTTTGGAAATAACAAATTGTAATGATTGCTTTTCCATGTGTTTATATCTGTGTATTTTTTGAACAGAAATATGAACTGCTGACCTATACTAGACATGCGGTTCATAACATCAAATATATTCATTTCTTGTACAGCCTAAAATCTCAACATCAATCATCTCGAAGGGTTTAAAGTTCTTGCTTTTCTCATGGAGTGGAGATTAAGTTCCCGGAAGTACATTTCTCCATTCAAAATCCCCCAAAGGAGTTTCAAAAATTCCAAATATCAAGAGTTTGAAGACAGAACTATTTACAGCACTGTGTTTTCAGCTGATAGAAACTTCAATAAATTGTACAGTTTGTCTAAATGTTGTGGTTTTTAGTGTTTGAAAAACAAAAGTTTTTTATTTATGTAGTTTTCAAAATATTTTGAATGGAGAAAACCTTCTGGAAACTATAATCTCGTCAGCTTATGAGGATGACAGCAGAGGTCAAACTAAGCTGATCGCCAAATCAAAATATGACTTTGTCGCAAGAATAACACAGAACTGTCAGTCTTGAAAGATGAGATTTTAGAGTTCACAATCCATAGCAAACTAATAGCAAACCACTTCACAAATCTAAAGTAATCAAACCAGTGTGTGCCATCGGCCCCACTGATCTCCATCAACCAGACTATTTTGAGGCAATGTGAAGTGCATAAAGACACAACAATGGTTTGACATGGACTGCAGCCCCCCTACTGTGGCACCTGATGTTCAGAGGTCTCCCATCACAGTAGTAACCAGGCACAATCCTGCTTGGCTTCAGTCATCTGGCAGGATCTGGCTTTCATGTGCAGGTGGAGCCTCGAACACCCTCGAAAGCAGAGAGACCAGGACATCAATCCAGGGCTTGAGTTTGAGAGAATCAGTCTCGAAGTTTGCAATGTTAGTACGATTTAAATTCAGCAGCAAGATAATTATTGTTTGTGGTGCACGTTGGTATTTGTTATTTTCTATATTGCTTTGAAATGATGAGAAGGAAAAATAAATCAACCTAAAAGGTGTATTATATAAAAAGAGAAAGCAGTGAGTCACTTCTCCTGAAATGATCCCAGTTTAAACACAGAGGTACGGTACATTTCTTTTCCTCACTTTCCCCTGACATTCACACTTGTCATTGGGTCTAAACTTGTTAAAGGCGGCTGGATTTCGCTGTTGACAGAGACGGAGTGAGCCTGATGAGTAATATCCCCACACCTCCTCCTCCCTGCTGTGGATGTTGACAGAAGCTCTCAAACGTCGCTGCAGACCTGATGTCAACCTTCAGTTCTGCTCCCAAAAGGATCAACTCTTATGTAACAAAGTGACATCACCCACGCTGCTTGTGAAAACCTCATTTAGCATATTACATTAGGCTGGGAATCATGAGTTCCAGATCAAAGCGTTGGGTTTGGGAATCTTGGGCTCCCAATCAAAGTGTTGAGGTTGGGAATTATGGGCTCCCAATCAAAGAGTTAGGTTTGGGAGTCATGGGCTCTCAGTCAAAGTGTTTGGGTTAGGAATCATAGGCTCTCAATCAAAAGTGTACCATATAGTACCACTATCACTGGACTTTGTCGCACTTACACAATATACCTACAATAATCCTCTCTCAGATAAAAGATTTCACTTTATTAATCTCCTGTATTTTAACTATAAAAACAAAATAACCGAGGAGCAAAGGATAGGTCTAAAGAAGAGGACTTTTTCTAAAGTACATTATAGAGCAGGGCCTGGTTACTACTATGATGGTAGACCTCTGGGAACATCAGATGCCTCAGTGGGAGTGGTCGCCAAACTGTTGTGATCTTAGGAAAGACATTGTCCAATATGAGTCTGGGGTATTAAGAATAGTGGTGGTTGGGCCGATGGCACAGATTCCTAGCCTTGCTTTCATCAGTTATAGCTACAGCACTAACTTAACCATCACCATGCCAGAAATGCACAATATCAAATAGATCCATAATTATGTTTATGTTCAGTATTATTCAACCATAACTTACAAATACATTCTTGATTTTTTTAAATCTAATTTTGTTCCCCTTTTTCTTGTAGTTGAGGTATACCTATGATGAAAATTACAGGCATCTTTCATATTTTTAAGTGGGAGGACTTGCACAACTAGTGGCTTAATACTTTTTTTTTTAAAACCTCACTGTACTTTGACTGTACCTACAGTATGTTGACATTTCAATATTTTGTCACAGCCGTATTTTCAGCAACCTGGGACTGTCCTGACCTCGACAAGCCCCCGGACTCTGCACACGTTGATTTATTGTCCAGGGCTTCAACATCAACAGCATTAGTCACAGAGTTGAAGGTCAAACCATTACAGCTGCATATGACGACATGTTCGAGGTCCGGGTTTGATTAGGGTCGCTCTGTAGTGTTCTCATGTCCTGTTCCTTTTGATACGTTTTTTGGTGCATGGTTTTGAAAAAATGTGAGTGCATTCCTTAATTCATTTTGGTCTGGTCAGTTTGCACCGTAGACTAAACAGGCCGATGTTTGTCTTTGGAAGTTTGCTGTGATTGGGCTTGTGTTATGTTTCTGGAAGTGGAGAAGTGAGAAGTGAGTTAAGTGGGTTTAGTCCATTGTTAATTAAAAAAATGATATGTAACAGTTCACAGTGCAATAAAACGTTGGCGCTTGATGATCATTGACTGTAACAATAACCAATACATTACAATACATTCATTAAATACATAAAAAACTGCAAGACCCATATTTTGTCATAAAATGGGAATTTGGCACACTTAAGGCACCCAAGTTTTTTTTTTATATAGATTGGATATGAAACTGAAAAAAGTGGAGAATTTAGACTTTTATAAGAGATAGACAACTACAAAAATCTAAAACAACAGAATACTTATGCAAAATATACGTTTGCTGGAACTCTGCGACCTTGGCACTGCATATTCTCGCCGTTGGAATACGCACAAATTCCCTTAATGAATTTGTATTTTGTGAATCCATTTTAGTACTGTAGTTGACCTGCTTCTCAGTTTCATTTAGAGTAAATGTAACCCAATTTTTTTCTGGGGAAAGCGTGTGCCAAAGAAAAATTTGTTGGTTTTGCATGTAATTGTACATGATAACTGGTCTAGTTTGATAGTGCTTTGGATTTTGGATTTCCTAGTTTTACTCACAAGCTGTTTTGCGGTGATATTGCTGCCTGTAAACCTACAACTCATTTCAGCTCAATGAAGACAGACAATCCCCTTTGAGAGTCCTGATTCACAGCTGCAGTGGGAATAGCACATTTATCATACCACTCTCTGTTTCTGTGTCTCTAGGTAAGCACCTACTTGCACGTCAAGGATAGCAGCTTCACTTCGGGGCCTGTGTATGAGAACATCACCCTGCCTCGCCTAAAGAGCCACTCAGCCTCTTCCGCCTACACGCCATCGCCTCCTCGCTCTCCATCCACACTCACCAACGCATCACAGACGACAAACTTCCACCTGCCCACGAGCGGGACCACTTCAATATTCAGCAGTCTCAAGCGAATCGGCAAGAGGCGGAAACGCAAACGAGACATCCGACGGCATAGCATTCAAAAGATCATTGGTGTAGAGGAGCAGGAACACGAGGTGGCAGACAGTGCATCTGAGATAGTCAATTACGACACACGGACTTGGCCGCTGAAAGAAGGCAAGAGGAAAAAGGCAAAAAGTTCAGCAAATTTAGCCAAAGACTATATGGAAAAGTCTGTGTTAAAAGACATTGAAAGTGAATGCACGGGTGACTACAATATCACGCCTTACGCTGTGTCAGAGGGACCTTCAAAAAGCCATGTTAAAAGTCACTGCCGCGTTCTCTCCTTGGGATCTGTGCTAAGTTTTGATCTGCCTAAAGACATGACACTCATTCCTAGTATTCAAGACATCATTACAATTGCTCCGCCAGAGTCCAAAAAAGCCTCAGAGGCAGATCAAGACTCCCATTCGCAAAGACAAACTGCCCTGAGCTCCTTCAAACAGACAAGACCTGCGCTGGTTGCAAACACGTCAGATGAGAAAGATTCCAATAATCCTGTATTTAAAGAGATGCCAAACACATGTACATTCAAACAGCAATATCGTATTTCGAAGAGCATTCCAACGAGCCAATCTGGCAACCAATTACAAGTCAAATGCAGCAGTAACACAGTTGTAAATAGAGAAAGTGACCAGCAATCAACCCACATCAAGAATCCCATTTATGTCAACCATCACCACTCCACTACTTGCCAGAAACACAACTGTCTCAGTGTCCATACTCCTTTAAAAGACTTGAACGGACACAAGTATCATAAGTGCACAAGGCAACATAATGACCACAGCCAAACCTCTCAAATGGTCGTCAATCTAAAGTCAACTGTAAATATAAGCGTTCGTCAGGATTCAGTGGACTCCGGAGTGTCGAGTTTGGGCAGCGTGAAGCTTTCTTCGGACATACCCAGTCTCGATAACCCTTCGTCGAAAGCCTTTGTGGGTAAAGTGGTGTCTTTGGACGTAGGCTGCATCCCAAACACCGGGGAACTGGGCAAAGCAAACGTGTCGAGTGAATTTGAATCAGAAGCTGTGCACGTTGACCACCAGCAGTTTGAAGAAGTTGAGGAGGAGTTGGAAGGGATTTGGAGTCAGCATTTTCGTAATAGTATTTGCTCAGATATCATGTACCAACCCAGTCAAGAGGATACATTATCAGTCATCGACCAGCCTGTTCAACTATCGCCACCCTCAAAGAGCCCGTCGGTTTTCTTCCGAGATTTGGTGACCACTTCTGCACCTAATCTCCTTGTAGCTGAGTTTAAACTTCCACCGTCCGTCCAAAGTCGACTGGGTTATGACAAGAATCCCAGTCGGCACCTGTCCTCCCTGGGCGCGGGAGAGAGGAGGTCGTGGGCCGCGTTCACAAACCGAGAACCTGTGTATTCTTGCTCCAGTGGGACGACCGTGGCTGTGAATGAAACTGCTTCAGATCCATTGAAGCTGCCGGCGATAGAGGACAGTCAGAGATACATTTACCACTACAGAGAGGAGGAAGAGGAGGAGGAGGAAGAGGAGAAGGATGAAGAGGCGAGGGAGGAAGGGCACACTGGCTGTCCCAAGGTGAGGACTAGGGCTTATGAAATATAGGGACCAAAATTCTATTCTATTATTTTCTGTTTCATTCAAACTTATCTCTTCCATGAAATTCCATATTGTAACAGACAATTAAGGCTATGATTAGGGCAAAAAAAATACTAATCAATTAGTCATCTGAATATTCTTTAGATTCATTATTTAGCTATTTAGATCCAGAAAAGTCAGGCAATATTTGTATACATTTGCTGAAAACGAAGCTCAAGTGATGCCTCTGGAGAACATCTTCATAGAGATGTCTTGTAACACATTGCAGGCATTACAGTATTCATAAATGTTTTCACTGCTTCAAGGTTGCTTTTTGTTTTTACATATGCATTTATGTTTATCACAAATATACATTTAAATTAAAAGTAACCATCTGAGATCAGTCTGAAGTACTCGCAGAATATGTGTTACATAATGAGCTACAGTATGTACACTTTCATTTATTACATTATATTTTTTGATGGACGACGGACTACATTTCAACACTCTTACATTTATATACAAACATGAACGTTTTTTAGCTGCGGAACTCTGAATAGATGTAATAGTGTATAAGAGTTATAAGAACGAGCCATGCATGTTTGAAAAAGATAATTTTCGTGGGAAAGGCCAAAAATACATGAATGTGATGGAACCATGAATTAGTTAGATGCATCTGATAGCTCCAATGTTGTTGTTGTTTTGTTTTGTTTTTTTTTGTTTTATTGGTAGTAAAAACAACACATACACCAGGATCTGTCACCAGTTAGGATTCTTCATGACAGAATCTCTCACTAAGATCTCTCTTCTCTGTGCCGCAGGGCGTGGAAGGCAGCTGTCAACAAACCTCTGAACTCATGGGAACGCAGCATCACACAACGGCCACAAGAGAACGCTGTTTCACTTTGGTAAAATCATCCCTGTGTCCTTCATATCAGCAGCACGTACGCTGGAGCTCACCCATGTTTCATTACAGAGGCCAGAACAGAGTATGGAGGGGCCCCTGGAGAGGAAGCAGCGACTGCAGCTTGGAGGGAAGAAAGTAAGGAAGTAGTCGTAGTTCAGTTATTAGACTATAGCCACATCAGCTGTCAGTGGACAGCTGATGGTGAATACAAGCAATAGTGGTAGTAGAATTAACAATAGTAGCAGCAGCATCAGTTATCGTAACTGTACTAGGAGCTGCAGTATTGTGTGCAGTATTAGTGTACAAATGAATTGTGCTATACAGTACTGATCATCTACTTCTACTAGACAACTCTAGACAATTAGACGACTTTATTGATCACGCAATAGCTCAAAGAAGTACAAATCAACAGTTGAACAGATAATGCACTAAAAGCTTAAACAAAACAGTATGATCACGATCCAAATTTCTTATTCCAAGAGCAGTACAATGTTTTTCCCGCCTCATTCAAAGTGAAAATTAGATGCTCATTTTGCTTCTTTTAGGACTGACAAAAGCTTAAGTGAAGAAAGATGTACCAGTGTGTCCAAATGTTATTTTTTGCAGAGCAGTCGTTTATTTTGTGGGTCACGCTCAGAGAACAGGCAGCCCTGTCATGTCCACACTCCTCTGTTCACAGGCCGCCTCTCGAGGATGGAGCTGCTTCCACACTGTCCTGTACAGACACACCTTATGCTTCTACCAGGATAAAAAGGATATTCTCAGGGTGAGCAAACAGAAAAGTACAAATCCTTTTTCCACCAGTACTTGCTGTAACATGTGCAACGAGTCGTACAATCAGGACACATTTCACCAAACGTAAAATGACTGAGACTAACTTTTTTACTGAAAATTCTGGTCTGGTCCAGTTTTAATTATGAGATCTATAGCTATAATAGTTACTGTGAGATTGAGAGAAACCTATACATGTAAAAAAAAATGGTGTTTACTGATATTTAATAGATGCAAAGAGGTGATGCTTTTGAAATAGGGTAACAAATCTAAAATGCGCCTCTAAAATATAATATAATATAAATGTGTTACATGTAGAGTTCCAGTGGTGGTCTGCCCTTGAATCTCATCGGAGCAGAGTGCGTACCAGCTCCAGAATACACCAAGAAACCCAACTGCTTCCAGCTCAGGTAAGACACTGTTTCATGTATGTATGTATTTATGTACTGTATATACGTATTTATTATATTAATGTGGTGATAAATGCTTTTGATTTGTGTGACGCAGACTCCGAGACGGCTCTGAATACCTGCTCAACGCCTCTTCACGACCGCTGATGAAGAAATGGATCACAAAAATACAAGCAAACACAGGTAGCTATCGAGCAGCCACAGTAAACTCATATGTGCAGTATAGTAATGTACTCTTTGAACAAAAACGAAAAAAAAACGGATACTAAATCAACAGAAATAGAGTTTTAAAAGAGGTTGCACAAAGCAGACCTCCAACCCCTCTCACTCATACAACACAAAACACACTCACTCGGACAAGACACAGGCCCAAACACTCTCTGATCCTTCACCTCTCTGTTCACTTTCTTTCTCTCTCGGACTTCTTCATTACTTAGGATTTTGTAAGTGAATCATGAACGCTAATTCCTTCTATGGAGGTAAGAGTAACTACACATACTGAGATACACATTGATTTTAAAATAGTTCTCGATGGCTAGAAATGCTGATATTTTCACCCCTTGTGTATGACTTAATGCACACCTTACGTAAAGTAGGGGAAAGTTAAATATAAGCATGTGGTGGATGCTACGAGTACATTGAGCCTGAACCCGGAGCTTCTCCAGCTCCTTACAAAAAGGAGACTGACCTGGACCTTTGTCGGACTTTACACTATAGGGCCCTGAAGGATTCTCTCATGGATCTGAATAAAGGGTGTGACTGTGTGCAAACAGCCGGTGCTCTGGAGTTTAGCCGGGTAACCTCTGGTTAACCTCTGGTTAACCTCTGGGTAACCTCTGGGTAACCTCTGGGTAACCTCTGGGTAACCTCTAAGTACATGTTTGTAAAGGGCTTTAGATATGGCTTTTCAATCAATTTAGATGTGTTGCTATTTCTCTCATGAAATTACAACAAGAAGAATTATGCATCATACTTACATGTTATATTAGTTGTGGTTATATGCTCATGGCTGTTCAATATAACATAGCCCTGATGCCATTGCATTTACAAATGAGAAAACATCTATTGTATTGTGGTCAGTAAAAACATATATGGGATTTGCTTTAGTGATAGGGAACATTAAACAGACGGAGTCATTGTCTTTAACTTATCACTTTTTTTTTTTAAATGTGCTTTTTACAATGAAGGAGAAATGTATTTATATATACATATATATATATACAGTTGGTATAGTATGGAATAGGGAGTAACTTGAAATTACTCAATAATAATGAATAATATGAAGGCATCATAAAATAAGATAAAATGTTAGAAATACACAAGACCCTCTTTGTATTTTGTCCGCGAGATATCCCTAAATTTAACCCTAACCCTAACCTCAACCCTAATCCTAATCCTAATCCTAATCCTAATCCTAATCGATTAACCTAACCCTAATCTGAACTAGCATCAAACCGGGAATATGTATGTATATTTACATATAACATAATACTTTTTTTGTATTTTTGAATTTCATTTAATCAGGAAAGTCCCATTGAGATTAAGAACCTCCTTTTCAAGGGTAGTACCAAGGAATGCCAAGATTTTAGTGAGTCCCATAAATACACACACTGATTCTTTGGGGCTTATTCGCAGCGCGTTAAGTCCAATACTAAATTTCATCTTGTGACCATGAGAACATGTCATGACTCTCTCTAACCCATATTCACCTGTTTTAGAAAAATACCAAACAGTGATCTATGAATAAATCTCTATCGACTGCACTAATGTTGCTTTGAGTTGATCATTTCGTTATTGTTGTTGTCACAGGACGACTCGAGGCTGGATCTTTGACATCAGAGCTCTGCAGTGACGTGGATCATCCTTTTTCTGTGTAAGAAACTTCAAAACAAACAGATCTTATACTAAAGATCGTTGTTCATATTCTGTGATTGGTAGGTGCAATATTCATTCAAGCTGGAGTAGCAAACTATGAAAACACAAACAAATAACTCTGTAATACACTGAAAAAAGGATAAAAGAAAAAAGGAGGTAATAGTTGCTTGAATCAAGTGGGGTTAAACTTTATTCGAGAACGTTCTGACTGTCTTTCAAACTAGATTTTCCAATGGGACAAAGCCATTTAGTTTTATTTCAAGAACGGACAAAGGGAGACTTTCTACTCGTCCAATTGGTAAATCTTGTTTTTAGGTAGTCAGTAGTTACAAATTAAGATACATTATGCCAAATTTGAGAAATGTTTGGCTTGTTTTTTGTTACTTTTTTCAGTGTGAATCCACGTAGTTCCAATTTTTCTTAAAACTGTTTGGTTCTACTGCTCGTTTTCACATGCATGTATTCATGGTCTCTATCACATCTTGATATCAGCTTTTTCAGATAAAACAGTAAAAAAAAAGATCACTCAGGTCTCAGTATGTAAAAGATGATACGTTTTTTAATTAGATAAAGACAGCCTGTTGTGGTCTGACTTATTTAATAAAAAAGTTAGGTATCCCAGCTTTATTTTACTCAAAAAAATAAGAATGATGTATGAAAGAGGATCATTTATTCTGCTGTCAAGTTTGGTTTTGTGTGAGCTGCTGAAACGTAATCACTCTCTGTATATTGGATTACCCAGAGCTGTATTGTATTGAAAGCCCTGAATAAAGTCTGAATAAATGGCCTTAAATCTTGTTAGTAATAATTCCCCTTTCTCTTCAGGACGTCCTCTCCTCATGAAGTCACCTCCACGTTTCCACGCATCAAACCGCGAGGCCCAGTCCGCCCCGCGCTGCTCCTGACGGACTTCAGCCACGAAGAGGAGGAGCAGGACCCCTCCTCTACAGTGGGGGTATGGGGTAAGACCATCTGCATACTGGATACATGTGTAATACAGAGATCAGGAACACCACTTTTGTTTTTATTTTGGTCCCCATTAGCTTCTGAAATATACAGTAATTTGTTCAGGGACAATGCACACAAAAAATTAGTGAAATCTGAATTAAAGGATTTCAGCAAAAAACAATACTTATCTCTATCTGCAGTCCTTGGAGATATCATTTTTTTTATTTATACATATTTTTTTTTCTATTTGATATTTGGAATGCTATGCTTAAGAAGAACTTGCCAATTGTATTTATAAAGCACTATTCAAAAACTATTGACTATTATTGAAGTGATGTACATTAGTTACACTACAAAAGAGCACAGAATTATATAATAAATATAGTGATTGATGCAGTGAAATACACAAAAGGAAAAAAAGAAACAAGAAATTAGGTGTGTTTTAATGTTTTGTGATGATTTAAAAGCAGTAAGAGCAATCCTGCATTTGTCATGACATTAAAGTTTCTTCAGGCTCTGTGTTGGTTTGTCAAAAAATTATTTTATTTTATTACAAAAGATAAAATATTTACCAGAACATAATTGTTGAAGACTTGTGTTTGACTTGTGCAAAAAGTGATTGTGTGATGAGAAAATAAATTCTAGCAGCATGTAATAATTAGTGTAAAAGTGTTATTATTTCAACTGTAGTTCAGCTGTATTCCACTAGGGGGAGCTAAAGCTTTCGCCTGTTATCCACTCACTGCTGCTCAGGAATCACACATTTCAAAACGTCACTTTGTTTGTTGTTTTAAAGGATTATTATTGATACCTTTCCAGACATAAATTGCACAAACTCAAAGTGTTTGTTATTTCAGGTGGTGAGGATGACATCAGCGTGACTCAAGCAGACTCTGAGGACGCCGTCTGCAGCCAGCGCCGCTCACACTCCTTCACTTCAGGTTAGACCACTGGGATTTACACACATCAGCTTTAATCCAGGGAGAAACGCAACTCAGCCTCAGTGTTGTACAAGTCCTGTCCCCAGCCCATACCTTCGAGTTTCTTATGTCCAAAAAATTAAAAGAATGGTTCTATGTATACAAAATTGGGCTAAAATGCTTGTCAAACTAGTCCGATGAAACTACAGGTCTTTGGTATTTCTCTTATTGTGATATTTTTATAATCAGCTTTCATTTGATAACTTTTATAATGTGTTTCGAATGTTATAACCACAAACCCTTTTCATTTACCCACTAAACCCGGCAAGCACAAAACAATAAATCAAAATGTTATTCATATTTAGGTATATATATTTCAATTTTAGGTCACTATTTAAATTATTATAATCTAAAAACCCACTAACCGTTGTGGTCTGTGTGTAGAACAGAGCGCTGCTGGCTTGTAGGAAGAACACATCAGTGGGAGTGACAAACTCACTGAAACATTTCAAACATGTCCGAACACGTTTCTGTAAGAACGCACTTGTAATGGAAGCAATTTGACGAAAGAAACGCACAGAACTAATTTAGAGACAATATATTTGTTTAAAAATCAACAAGCTCTCTAAAACTCTCTAAAGTGCTTGTAAGAAAATTGGCAAAAATGTCAGCAAATACAGGGTCCGCGGGGAACATGTAAGGATTCAACCTTTAATATTATGGTCAAAACTCTCACTCTCGCTCAAAACATTTACACAAAAAAATTATGTCCTCAAACTCTCAACAACATGTTCGAGGAAAGGGACTACTGTTTTAGCCAGGAGCCAGCATACGAGAATTTTAATGATGGGTTGTTTATAATCCACATTACACCAATGGTTAGTGAGGATTCCAACACAAACTTGATTAATGCTGTTTAATCAAAAGTAGTTTGAACTTGTACATGTTAAATAAGTTGTATGGTTTTGTAACAATCATGAGCTGAATGTAGAGTGTGAGTGTTTTGACCTAGATATAGGCAGATTAAATTAAATAACTTGGAGATTAACTTAAAGTTTAAACTCACTCTATTCTTACTTATAAACAACAGCATAAGAGGATACAAATTACTCAATGCACTCAAAAACAACTTTAAGTGTGTGTAAATGAGAATGAAAAACAAAAAAAAACAACTATACTGCAAACAATACAAAGATATAGGGTTTTTATTTTGATTTCTGTTTCTCTTGAATTAAGAACAATTTGACTGTCATAAAGAGAATGGGAAAATCAACAAGTGCAGTAAGATTTGACAAAATGGGCTCAAATTTAGATACATTTTTCTTAATTCAGGCAACTTTTGGCTTTGTCACTTTTTGCGGCGTGATCAAGAGCTCTGACGAACATTAGCATATTCTGCCCCCTTTGACAGTCTGTTAGAAGCCGCCAGGACACGTGTGATTTCTCCAACGTGAGATATTGAAAGTCTTGTGTTGTTGCAGCCACATATCAGAAGATCAGCCCCGTGTTGAGCCCCGGGGCCAGATCTGTGGAGAGGGGGGCTCTCTGTGTGACTTTGCTGCTGGGGGACAAATCACAGGACGTCCCATGTGTCTCCCACGGCGACGCCCCCATGATGGATGAGGACCGCGGCCTGAGGTCCTACACCAGCCTGCCCCGGCCGCGCAACCAGTCAGTCTTCAAAAAGTTCTTTGGGAGAAAAGACGATTGACATTTTGATTTCACAATGTGCAGTGCGCATGAACCGCTACTACTGACAGTATTTATGACCTGAAGAAAAACAAGAAATATGTTTAATGCTTGATGTGTTAAAACTGTAAGGTGCCACTAAGACCATTTCTGATTTTTGTTTTATGTTTTGTACTGTAGTCATTCTGTGTGTGTTGTGTTTTACCAGAACTTATGAACCAAATCTTTTCAGTCTTATGTTGCTGTTTGTACTTTTTGTTTTCTGTGTTTTTCAAGGTTCATTATGCATTTTTTTAGTACGGGGTCAGCTACCTGCTTGTCTCTACTAATTGTGTTATCTTTTTTGTACCTGGAATGTTTCACTGTATGTCATTAAACCAGTATTTTTGCATAAGGCTCCAGCAATTAGTTGACGAACCTATTCCAAAGACAGCACCGTGTACTGTCTTTCTAAAAGCTTTCAGCCACCATAGTTCATCAAGCTTAAGTGTGTGGTGTGGACGTGTGGACAGTGTGTACTTTTTTCTCCAACTGGTTTAATACAGTCATTACAATTATAATCTAAGCCTGCACCACCTGTGATGACTCTGGTTCACCTGCGGGGGTTTGGGAGAGAGCAGAGCAGCTGGATTTCATCAAATAAACTGGCAACTCAAATGAGACACATGTGAATTGTGCTTTCGGATTAGACACACAGCTTGAAAACCAAAAAGTTAGCTAAATAACGTGATCTTGTTCATTGCTTTATAGTTGAAAATATGTTTTTAAAATGATTATGTAATTTGACTTGGACGCATTTGGAGCCAGACACAACCTAAGTATCATTTTACATTCTGACACTGAGATAAAAGAGCTTAAAACATTGTACAAGTAATAATTGCTGACTTGTCAATTCCTCATCTTTGCTATACCTTAAAAAGCAACATTTTACATTGAAACATTAATATTTCAGACAAATCAAACTCATACATGATTTCAAGCCGGTGACAAACCTTTCTCTAAAATAATGCAGCTGTAATGCAGTGTTGTCCCTCGATTCACGGTGAAGTCACCATAAACATGTTTTCTACTTCACATTATCAGCTGTTTCATGTCGATTGAGATTGTTTTGTCTTCACATTATTTAAAACATACTCTAAACGTTACAGCATGGTTCGATAATGTTCTGTGTAAATGTTTGGAAAATATGTATTGTTCATATACTGTGGGTTTTAATGATGATGATTGCAACATGTATTAAAATAAAATCCAACAGTCCAACATAAGACTGTTTCCTTTATTATAATGAAACTCAACAGAACTCAACATTTATGTCAATGGAAAAAACCTTCTTCTTGGTTGTTTTCTCTCCTCGTGTGTGGCTTGGTTTCTCTGATTTCCCCCAGTAATCTAAAACACACCATTCCTCCAACTATGTGATCTTAACAAAGGGGTTTGTTGTTGATGCTTTAGCAGTAACATGTCCTGGTCACAGACTGTGGCATCACTGAAGGCCATTCGTATAATACACAGATATGATTATAGCCCTTGCTTTACACAAGTGTGAGATAAGTGTTGCCGCGGTGACAGCGTCTCATCTGAGGGTCTGTTGTTGTCCCCGAGGGCTTTGAAGACAGCGAGGATTAGAGGAATCCAAAGATTAAAGGCCAGGCTAATGTTATTATCTTTATTTTTGCATATAAACCTGCCAGCTCTCAAACAAATCCATAATCAACAGTGCATTTGAGCTGGAGGCCATGGCACAGCCGACAGGACGGAGGATAATGAGACATATGCATGAAGAGATCAGGCCATTAGCAGATTCTCAAGCGTACAGTGACGTAGCCGCGGTTTCGTTGAGAGCTGAGAGAAGCTACAACACTCACACATACACAGGATTTAACATTTGTATTTTGGATGTGTTTCGATCAGAGACAATGCAAAAAAGATTGAACGCAGGTGACGCTTGGAAAATTAGAAAATTGACTTAAACTGTGGAACCAATATATGGTGTTTGTTGTCATGTTGACGATGATGGCTTACAGTACAACATTTTCTGATTTGATGAGATGTTTTTGTGTTTCTTATCAACATTACAACATCTACAGGCTGGATATATTTCACTTTACATGCAATGAGTTTGTCATATATTAGTTTCACATGGTAAATTCAATTACAGAAGTACATTTAAACAAACATTTCTATTTTGTTCTACTAATATATTCTTCACACGATTCCATACGTTATCTCCTCGCTTTCATAACAGTTGGTTCCATTACTAGTTTTCAATACATGCATTGTCACATCTTTAGATATTTTTTTCAGACAGCAAAGTGAAAGAGAGAGGACCACTCTCACTCAGTCAATCAGCTCTCTGCCCTCGGGGTCCAATAGTGATAGTCAGGCCCGTCCCAAGGGGGGTGCGAGGCCCTGTGCGAACTCGAAACGCGAGGCCCTGCCCTGACACTTTTTTCCCAGATCTGAGGAAAGTTTTTCCTGTTATAATCTTTGACATGAATTCAGCACCACCTCGCGCGGTGCTTGACGAGATCAGCACGCGTGTAACCGAGTGTCTTCGCTCCTATGCAGCGTTTGGCGCGCGCACGTACACACGCACACACACTCTACGTGCAATATTGGTCGCGGTCTTTTTAGCTGACATGTCTCTTTCGTCCTGTGGCAAAATGGTAGAGCAACTCAAAAGATTGAACCAAAAGGAGTCTTTTTCTTCTAATAGTTAGATTTTGGCAAAATGCGCCAAAATGGCTATGAGGCGGAGTCAATATTATTTTTTTCTCATCAAATAACGTTTTTGCCATGCCTCCACACACTCTGACAACATACACTCCTCCTCCTCCACACTGACAACAACAAAATACTCTTCACCTCCTCCTCCACACACTCTGACCACAACAAAAACACTCCAGCTAGCTAAAGCTAGACATACAGTGTGTTTGCTAATGCTTTTAAAAATATGTTTTTGATGTGGATATTCGGACTAAACATTGGCAATAGCAGCGCTCACACACCTGTCACACCGCTGATCCTCCTCCTCCTCCTCTGCTCACACAAAGGGGTCTGCTCCTCTGCTCACACCTGTCTCACTGCTCCTCCTCCTCCTCCTCCTCCTCCTCCTCCTCCTCCTCCTCCTCTGCTCACACAAAGGGGTCTGCTCCTCTGCTCACACCTGTCTCACTGCTCCTCCTCCGCGAGTATCCATCTCTCCTACACTGCGATCATTCCCGTTACTTTCTTTGTATCTCACTCAGACACTGCTAAAGTTATCTGACAGTTTTTTCGGAGGACCCGTTGCATACATAGCTGCCCGCGCGCCTGCCTGTTTACAAATCGCTTTTGGTGAAAATTTGACTTTACTTGTAAAAATGTTCTTTTGATCAAACGAAATCAAAGAGGTCCAGAGAAAGGGGTTTAGGGTTCCAAATTTGGAGTGCAGTCTGCCCTTTGGGGACCCTTGAACTAGTGTATTTATAAAATAAAATAAAAGGAAGGAAGATTGCGAGGCCCCTGTGTGGTGCGAGGCCCTGTGCGACGGCACAGGTCGCACAGCCCTTAGGACGGGCCTGGTGATAGTCACAGGGCTCTTTCTAAAAACGTAGCTAAAGACAGCCTTTTACAAGCCTCTTTGTGATGGGACAAACAGCATGTATTGTTTATGAAAAAAGTTAGTTATGCCAGCTTTATTGTGGATTTCTTTGGGGGTTTGTGTCAAAATCTTGTTTTACTGTCTTGTTTTTTCTCTTGTTTGCAGGTCGTTTTTTTGTGTGCAAGATTACAGCATTTTTTTATGTATATTTTTGTTTTCTTGAACTGTTTGTGATTGACATAAAATGACAAATATGTTAGAAGTATATTGATATTTCACTACATATTCCATTTCAAGTCATTCTAGTCCCACCACACAATTGAAAATGCCCAGAAAGAAAATATTTGTGACAATGGATTCTACACAACTGTCTCACTGTTGTATAAAACATCATAACCCCTTTTACAATGTAAAATATATCTAATTTTGTGTAGCCTACATGTATGAGTAAATGTATGAGTAAATGTATTTTGAATTGACAATACAAAATACATGCCTTCTTGTTTTTATTCTGATTTAACTTGTTTGCACCGAGAGCCATAGCAATTTCCTAGTTTGTGACGTCCTGTTACTCACATGGCAATAAAAAGGATTCTCATTCTAACAAACCACTAGATAAAGCCATGCTGCTGATAATGACACATGAGAAATGACAGAAAAATGATTTTCTAAAGATATTCAGTCTTTTCAATGAGTGCGACAGATTGATCAGTCATCGAGCAAAGTGTGAAGGAACAATCCAAATGCGAATGTTATAATGTCATTTGTGGGATTTGACTCTAAAGGTCTCGCTTACTTTGTTCCTGCTGCTGCATTACACAGAAGTGCCCTTTCCAAAACCAGCCCACCTTTATCCAGTTAGCTCCCGATTCAAATCAACTGTGAATGCAACACCGCTGTAAAAATAAACTTGGAAAGAATGAAAAAAGTGTTTCGTTTTACCACCGTTTCTTCCCCTTTCTGAGCCAAAAGTTACAGTGTGGTTTTGGCGGCTTACACAGCGCTAAGTAACATGGAAGGAGCAACGTACATTTGGAAAATCTGCACTCTATAAAATGTATGGCTACTCAAAGAAGGCTCATTCTGATGTCCTGGTGAAAACTCTTAAATAGTATTAACAAAAACAGCTGCTAGAAAAATGATCTGCTCTAATGCTTTGAGTACTACTGCTATTTGTGCCAGTCCCAAACCCACGATAGAGAATAAAAGGTATATGAAGTGAAGAGAATAATATAATTGACCAAATTACTTCACACTAATGGGAAACTATATCTACTTTTGTATGTTGCAAATAAGAAGTTAAAACTATATGCATACACAATCTGGATAGTCATAATGGTTACCATGGTTACCCTCAAAATCAAACACACTTCCTAAATGATCATAACATTTCCTGCCTAAACTGCCTGATCAATTCGTTGGTATGCATTACAGAAATA